CTTCAGCCTTTGGGATCATGATCTCTCCGCCAGCGATCGAGAGAGTCTTTTCAAGTTCATTAACATGACACGGTCCCCCCTTTGGGATTCCGTTCCTGAACTTGAAAAAGTGCACGACGGCCCTTTGTTGGGACAACATGTTGTTTGCATTAAATACTATATGTATTGTATGTGTGGAGGACAGGGTGTTGATGTCAACAGTTCTTGTGGCTGGACAGAGATTAGTACTTACATTTAGTGACAGCTTCTTCATAGCGAACGATTTGTGTTGTCTGCCGATGTTTGACGTTTGTTGTTTGTTTATCGCTTTGTTTTGCGTATTTGTTTGGGTTTCTAATTATTGTATAATGTCGAAACTAAATGTTTGCTTAAGTACTCTTGTTGCTTGCTGTTTAAGTACTTTGTGTAACACAGTTTTGGTTGCTATTGTTTTTTGCCTTATTTAAGTTGCTTTGCCGCAGATGTTTGCATTTAATTGTATTTTATCTAAAAATTGAAATGGAACTAGTTAGAGGTATGATTTTGCACAAGATCGGGTACTTTTCCCCTCGATTGATAGCCTCTAATTTGATTTTAATCACTTTTTCATCATGTCAAAACAATGAAGTTGTGCAATCTGGAGCTTAAGCACAAGATTGACAGCCATCACCGATCAAAGTCTCACAGATTGACATCTAAATTTGCCGTTTTTGTACTCCATATAAGTCCGTATGTAAAATGGCATTTGTTATACCGCCGCCTGATCGCTGATTGTCATTTATTGTTATTAATGTTGTTGCTGTCCGTCGTTGATTAAAACCATTTATATGCAGTGAGCAGGAGATGAACGGGCTGAAAAGGGAGGGGGCGGTGGGGGGGGCGGGTCCGCTGCATATATGCAGTAGCAGGGCCCAGTTGTTGTTATTGCTGCAACAGCAACAGCTACTGCTACTGCTGCTGCTGATGTTGATTTATTTAGCCGGTCCGATCGCTTCGCTCGGTGCATTTAAAATGTCGGAAGTGTTTGCACGCAAAAAGTATAAATACAAGCATACAAAAACAACAACAAAAAAAAAGGCAGAGAAAACACATATAAAATTGTGTGTGTTTGCTCAGCATAAAATATTTCCTGTTGCACGCACAATTGTGCGATGGCAGCGCGATAGACGCCGCGATTTTATTGGAGATCTCGATTCGATTCGAGGAAATGCCCAAGACCGGGCATTCCGCGGTCCCTTGTCCCTGTCTCTGTATTTTGGTCACTTATGACATCATCGCCGGATCAATATCGGTCGAATATCAACGAAAGTTTTTCTTGCCGCCGTTCCACCGAAAGAAATTCCGATTGAGAACAATTTAAAATAAGCTGAGTAAGTTGGTTTTTCAAATGAAACTTATTTTAAGCATGGCATTCATGAGTACTTCTTTTTAATAATGAGTTAGAAGACTATTTCAATGGGTTAAAAATAAGGGCAGTATTTAAATTTAGCTTGTATATGCTCTAATCGCAAATTAAGAATTTTAATATTAAAAAATACTTCTTGGATTACGTCTCTTTATTTCTCTGCGTGTGTGGCGCACCCTTGACAACACAGAATGAAAACCGACACACAAAAAAAGGCGTCCAGAATGGAGAAACAATGTTGGAAAGAAACTGGCATTGTTGCTGCTGTTGGCTGCAAGGTGGCAACATCATGCGAAAACAACAACAACAACCACAGAAAAAGGGCAACAAAAACGCCGGCCAGCAGTGATATGGCTATATCCAGAGATTGTTATTGTTGCTGCTGACCAGCAGGTAGGTATTTGGGATGCGATACGGATACCCGTTCCCGATCCCAATCCCAACGCCGCTCCCGCTCTTCTGCAGCAATTCGGTCAACTGACGCAGGCCGTCGAGACAAAAGACAAGAGATTACAGATAAGCAATTGGTATTTGGTATTGGTTTAAGCACGCCCCGGCTACGTTTTCAGACTCGGTTTCAGTTCCCCCGCTGTCGTCACTTAAGTGCCGTCTCCCCAAGCCGTCAAGTCTTGACCAATCAGTTACATGCAGCGGCATTTACAAATGCATAAAGCTTATAATTGTTATTTAATGTTTCCTCTTCGTACTCCCGGTACTTTTCCACATTCGATCTGATTTTTTCTGTGTCCAATTTGTAGCGCTTAATTTTTCGACCCGAGATGTTAATGGCTGCCAATTTTGAAAGCTGCTCCAAGTTCGAGTTGTGTTTTTCATATATTTTCGGTTATAATTAAACGTTTAACGTTTATTACATTTTCGTAATTGTGTTTGCTGTCGCCGCTTGCTTTCGGTAGGAAACTTTTTGTTTCGTTCGATTTCTGTGCTGGGCACCGACCGGCACGGGGTTACAGGTTACAAGTTACAGGTTACAAGAGACAGGTAACAAGTTACAAGTGATGGGCTGTAGGTTGTAAGTAGCAGGTTGCCGCCGCGAAATGCACGATTGTTAAAACTCTTTCACTCGCGTTTTTTTTTTTTGTATTTTTGCCCAGAAGTACCGCGATACACTTGCACACACACTTTTGGCATTAATTCGGTATCTCAATCGGAGTATCTTGGCTGCTGCGCTCGTACGATGTTTACTTGTTGCTTCGTGTTTAAGGACTACGCCGCACTCGACGGTAACATTGGGTTATAAGTGAGCGGACGACTGCGCAGCGGGCGTCGTCGCTGGCAGCGCTCTCGCAGCGCTGGCAACTGTATCTGTATCTGTAGCCGCCGCTTTTGCTGTTGCTGTAGCCGCCGTATCTATATCTGTGTTGAGTGCTGCTCTTAAGCGATCCCCTGTTGCAGCAACATGTTGCCGCAACATGGCGATCTCATAGATACATCTTGTGATGTTTCGCTCTCCGTTCTTGCTCTCACAACCACTTGTTGCGCCGGTGTAACTGTTCTTGGGCCTTAGGGATTCCCCCGCTCGTGTGATCTGCTGGATCATCTGATGTAAAACTCAATTGCTAATCAATGCAATTACCTGTCGTGGCAATAATTGCAGAGCAATCTGGAGAACAATGGTTTGTTTTTCCACGAGAGAGAGTGGGAAAAATGTGAGCCAAAAATCTCAGGTAAATAATGACTCGGCTTATTGCAGCCGGAACTTGAACTATGCGATCATGGTTTAAAAATAGGTCGTTTTGGAGAGAGGGTTAGGTTACATATGGAAGAGGGTTTGGTTCTGGGACATTATTTATAATAGCCCAATTTTCTTAAGATTAATTTTTTACTTTTTAATTTTTAATTTTACGCTTCTTATAAGTATTTTTAATATTATACATATTTTTCATTCTAAACTTTTCATTAATTGAGATATCATTTTTCTAATTCATCCTTTCTGATACTTAACAAGTTTGAAGAATATATTCTTTATACAAATCTATATTTTTATTTAAAGCTAATTTAATTTAATTATTTGCTTTATAAATTTTGATGAGTAAGCGAAACAGATCAGAACCTCCCATAAAGGGTGTTAATTGCATCGATAATAATATGCCACCTTGCTGAAATTGCGTAGATCCCGGCCAATTACGACTGCACTTTTTATTGATTAATCTTATTAGCCGTAGTTAATCATGCTGCTCGGGGGGACATTCCCATTCCCACAATTGTTTTGTTATTATTAAACAGAACCGAATCAAATTACTGCCCCATTTTGGTCATTGCCATATCGGCTGTGGGATATGGGCTCACGTTAGAAGCCCAATTTGCATAATTCGCTCGATACGAAGAGTTTAGGCTAGAGGATCCCGGGGGTACTGCACACGCTATCGTGCTGACTCAGTTTTCCCATGGAAATGGAAAATAACCGATGGATGGAAAAATATTATTCGAAGGTGTTACGATTGTGTGACAGTTTACGGTCTTATATAACCCAGAGTTAGATGTTCTGGTTTACATTATGATGATAATTCTCAATAAGGTAACTTGATTATATAAGCTGAATAACGGGTTTGAAATAAATTACTGTAAGCCGGGGTTAGGGGAATAATTGTTGGGATATATATAGATATATATATATAGTATAAAGTTGGGATTGGTAGCAGCTTACTATGCTCCGAATAGTATGCAACGGCCCATGATGAATCAAGATGAAAAGTTAATAGGGTATATCCACTATAATATTAAACCTAAGTAACTTCAATTACATTATTTTATCCAAACAGATATAAAGACAAATTGATAATCACATTAAAAGAATTTCCCACACGCCTATGCTGATCAGTGGAGAAGTGAATTAAATATAATGGCTGACGTTGCTAGCAGACACACACAAACGAACATAATGGGGCACAGGCACCCATTACAGAGATTTATACAACGGAACCGGAAATTGCCTCAAGAGAATCTTGACTCACACGCATACAAGCGGACTCGACGGAATTAACTTACATACTCGGGGTGGATCGTTTAACTAACTAAAAAACAGGGCTGTGCTTATATATAAAAGCACGAGATTGTACAAAAGTAAATTAATGATATGTAAATATATTCTTCCGAAAATGTCGCTCGCTCAAACTACTACTGACCTTGTAACAATTTCTTTTTACACGAATTCTCGTGCCCCTTATTTGAGTGCGGGGTACGAATATTGCGGGAAGAATAATGCAGGGCCAGGGACAGGGCCGCCGACTATTTACGAATATGCTCAAATGTTATTAACCTCCAAGTGGGCCAGTCCCAGCGATCCGGACAAAAGCTGAACTTGTAAAAAGGGTGTGATATCGCTAAATGCGACGACAAACAATTAAAAAAGTAAACGGATGAATTTTTACGAATGTCGATCGAAATGTACAGAGGCAAAAACCCCTATAAAAACTCCAATATATTAGAATTATATTCCTATATGTATATGAACTTAAGATTTTTAGAGTATACAAAAATATTGTTTTTCCCCTAATGAAATGCCCAATAACTTACTTTTTTAAAAAGTAACAACTTTTTTTCTGCGTGTAGGAATTCGAGTTCGCATTTTCGCATTCGAAGTGGAATTTGGACTCACCTTAGGCGCTTGTTTCGGGTTTGATGCGGGGTTGGCTGCGGACTGGGCCACCCAAACTTTCAGATGGCTTATCGCTCCTCCGATGGATGATTCCCTGACTCTCCTGCGATCGCTATGCTGGACTGTTGGACTCTGGATAGTGGGGTGCTGGGTGTCGGTGGGGGGAGGGTGTGTGCAGCAATAACAAACTCGTTTGTTTCTTTACACTCCTTCGTTCGATGCAAACTTTTTAGGCCCGCGGATATTCTCTGGCACTTGGGTTTATCGCCATTTTGTGTGGATTTTCGTTAGGTCTTTGTGTTTGTTGTGTTTGGTGTGTGTCCGCTGATAACGCGTCACAGGGGGCGTCATAAGTGGGCGTTCCCGATCGACTTTCCGTGCAAAGGGGGAAAGGCAACTTCACTTGCTCCACTCCGCCTTGCGCTCCTCTTGCATTTTTCTTTACTACTGGTTCACACGCGTCACTCTCACTCGTCCTCTCACCCACTACTCTCTCTCGAGCTTTTTGTTGTTTTTGTTTTGTGCGTGGTGAAAGAGCAGCAAGAGTGGCCAAAGCAAAACTGGCGATAATCGCAGCAATGAATGGGAATGAATGTGAATTGTGCTTTGCTTTGCTGTTTGTTTGTTTGTTTGTTTGTTGTTGTTGTTGTTGTTGTTGTTGGCGGTAACTGATCTACACGCACTGAACTAAAAGAGAGCAGCTGGAAGGCCTACTCCCACTCGCTCGCTTGCTCTCTCTCTCTCTCTCTCTCTCTCTGTGGGGCTCTTAGTGACATTCAGTGCCAGGAGGATCGCACACACACACACACACTGCTGATGATGGGGTATCTTTGTAAATATATTTCCACATAATTGACACTCCACATCAATGGTACAACACTGCGGATTTGCAACGCCAGCGCAATTCTCACGTTCGCACTGATTATTCACACATTTGTACAATGCATACAATACATACAATACATATATTTGCGTATTATTTATTTATTTAGCTTGTGTATTTCCAAAATATTTGCCAGGCACACAACAAATATTTTCGCACCTATTCGTTCGCCGCCGTCTATAGTTGCATATCTATAGGTAACATTCATACATATATGTATATATATATACATATATAGCAACGGCCAAGGCAACGGACGCGATCGCGACACAAGGATTTTCCGGCGAAACCAAAGGAAAGAGAGGAAAAACACCAAACCGCATGAGAAGCGAAAGCAGACTAACTGCAAACATGAAATGTCAAAATGCTGGGGACCGTTCTGCCATGCACACCAACTCACTCACACACCCGCACACCATGCAAACATCATGTGAGGGGGACGTGGGTGGATTGAAAAGTTCGTAGATCATAAAACTTAAGTTTAATATTTATCACACAGTTTAATTTTATACTTCAAATTTAAAAATAACCAGAAGCAATAAAAAGGGAAGCCTTGTTTGAATGTCCCGACCATAGAATATCCTCTTGTTCTAAAAACTATTGCCTACTTTCCGGCAATATAAATATTTCCTTTACTGCTATTGGTACTTAAATTAAAAACATAATCATTTTAGAAGTATAATAAATGATTTTTCTCTTCGAGAAACATTTTGCTTTACAGAACGATTTATAACTTAAAGATTTAGATTTTTGGTTGGTAAAACCTTTCTTCTTAAGTCTTCAAATTTGTATCTGCAAAAACTTCCGAGTCAACCCTCTTTTGGTATATGGAACGCTGGTTGCTCGAAAGAGCACGCATGTGCCAGCGGCTTGATTCGCTTTTCGTTTCGTTTTCGTATGTGTGTCTGTCAGACAATGCGGCCCCAAATCTTACCCACTTACCACGCCACCCTCCCGCCACCCCCTTGGGGTATATGTGAATGAGGAGACAAGCGCCTCTAAGGGGTCTTTAGACGAACAAAGGAAGTGGTTCGAGGGTGATAAGTCCATATTCACATCCATATTCACATCCCATCCACTTCCAGTGGCGAGTCATGGTCGTTGTTTATCGGGCTATCGGGGTAACTGGCCCCCATTCGCCTGCATTCATCGGAAAATCGACGCCCCTGCTCACTGACTTTAGCTTACCGTGTCACACACACATACAAGCACACGTTCGCTAATTGAAATTGAAGCATGTAACTGTAAGTCAGGCTCTCGCAAAGAGAAAAAAGAGAAAAAAAAGTCCCTCCCACACATACACAAACATATGAAAATGTATCTCTAGCTTGAAAATGCAGAAGAATCCGCAAGAACAACTTATACTTGAGTTCGAGTTCGACTTCGGGCTCCCTGCGAGTGCGCGCTGTAAGGCGTGCGTAAACCGTTTGCGTCGCAAATTATTGCCCATTTCCGTTCTGTCCCGGTCTCTCCGGTTTTCCATCACTCTGGCCAGTTTTACGGAGCACCCGCACAAGCAGTTCTAGAAGCTGGGACTATGGATCGGGAGTCAACATACGGAAGTACTTTTACATATAATTGGAAATTTAAAACTGACTTTTAAGTAGAAGCTACAAACAGTTTTAACGATTTATTTTTAATATTTTCTAAAACTCCAATTTGACTTTAATTTATAAAAGGACATAGTTTTATAACCGAAAAATTGTAACTAATTTATTAACCAACGTTAAAACCGCCAAACTAACCTTTGGAAATAAGTCGTTTATGAAGTTACATTTTAAAACAACGTTCTCACTTATTAACAAACCACAACCATAACTAATTCAAATGATTTCGAGTTCAAAAAATTTAAATAATATGCCAAGCACAAGCAAGTAGAAAATAACTTTCGAAACATTGTTTTTATAACTTAGAGTCATAGAAATGTATTGGAATTTATTGTGTGACACCGAGAGTGGCTGAGGTCTTGAAGTTTGACTCGGCACTTATGACCACACAATGTATGTCGGCTTGTTTTCAATTAGATTTATGGGTATTCTGCGCTCAAGTTTTGCCCCCGGATCGTATATCACACAAACACAATCGGTCTTTTCTTATATGTATGTATATTGCCCATTCGAGTTTTGTTTGCAATAAAATATTACGTATACGTACGGGCAGGCGGAGTGTCAACAAACTTGTAATGTGGCACAAGTGTGATTCAGTGCGCCAGCCCCCGGTTCAGAATAGCCATACATACGTGTGGCCCGGCTCTCCCAGCGCGGAGTTATGTGCCCCGGACAAGGTTATATAATGCAGCTAGTGCCAGTTCAGTCGTCCCACAGCAATATAGTAAGAAATAACTTGACTTTGACCGGTCGGTCAATTTAGCTGCAGTTGAGCGGACCATTTAATTGCCGCTTTCAGATCTAAATGAGCGGCGCACACGCAAATAATAATGATAAAATACTCGTAGAAACACGGCCACTTGAGCGGCTCGGCGCACACATTGTAAGGAAATGCCAGGCACAAGCCTCAGAGATCGAGATTCGGATGCGGATTCGGGCTCGGATTCGTACTCCGACTCGAGCACTTTCTCAAAGAGCCTCGCAAAGGTCAGAGCGAAAACGATCTGCAGACGTATTGTATATCTCGGTTCGTGACTCTGACTCGTGATGGGCACTTAGGAAATCCAGATATAACCGATGCCATTTAAAGACGCCTCGAGCCGTCGCCGCCGTCGCCTGCTCGCAACATAAATAGCAATTTCAAACAATTTTCAATTGCCAAATGCCCGCGACGATGGCTTTTCCTCTGCCGCCAACGCCGCCAAAACCCGTTTCCACTAGTAATTGAAACTAGATCTATTTTTAGACCCAGCCAGCTCAGGAATTATTGCCAAAGCGGCCCACGGCCCACAATGCACACGCGATTCAACCACAAGCGATCGTTCGATCAATTGCCGCCTTAATGTTAGCTATATATTAGTGCTTTTGGCACTCAGCCAAGAGACAGATTACGAGTACTCCAATAGAATTGTAATTATTAAGCAATAAATAAATGTATGTTCTATATAAATTTAATTAAGTTCTTGTTAGAACGGAATCTTAATCCTTTGAAAACTATTTTTGTTAGTCGATTTATGGTATCTGAGAAAGACAATCGATCTAAGATAGATATCTAGACTGATTGGTGTTTTATGTTATATACTTTTAAATTTAAACTTTTTTTACAGTCTTATATGATATCCATGGTTATCTACGACTTTCGAATTTCTATAAAGATATTGTCTATGAGCATTTATATCCGGAAAAATAGAGCTTAAAATATATATTGTAAAATAAAACAATTTAAGAAGTCAAACTCCACTTTCTGTTACAAAAATGACTATCTTCTGTAGTGTTTTTACTATCCAATTGCACTCCCTCGATCATATGTTCGGTGTTCGCTCACTGCTCGTATGTATGTACTCACCATTCTGATAGCCCTTTCAAATGGGTTTTAACGGAATAACAGACTATATATTTCCGGACGAGACTAGCACTAAACTGTGTCGGTGCCAAAATGTTTGCGAAACTTCTGGCCAAGTTGCTTTTATACCGCCGACGCTCGCATCCAGCGGATGCCATGGCTTTGGGGTGGTTGGTGGTGGTGCCGATGGTTTTTTGCATAATACGCGGTTAGTATTGGCTGATTACAAAGGGCCCCGAGACACAAACACACAACCGAAGGAAAGACAAGAAAAGGCAGGGCAAGACAACTCAAACTCAAACAGAACTCAAACTGAACTCGAGCCATGAAAGCCGTATAAATTATTCGATTGTATCCCCTTCAGAGTGTCTGTTCTGGTCATATGATTATGATTACGTTGATTAAAACGCGCTCTTATCGTCACTTGGTCCGCTGCTGTGTGTTAATGTGTGTCCCATGCCGAGTGGCACACCCGTTCTCCTCCAGCATCCGCCTCCGCCCGCTCAATTGCAATTGCTCATACGCCGCGTTGGCGACAGGATAGCCAGATGCTCCATCAGTCCCGCCTTTCAATTTGCTCACAAAAGGACGTCGTTAGGCAAACGGTTGATGGACTCATTATGCACATTGAAATGCGCTTATAGACAACGGTTCAAGGCTTTCCCTTTCATAATAAAAAATATACGTACATATTTCTAGATAATTAAATATATACATTTTGTACTATTGAATCTATGTATATTAGAACTTTATATAAAACTTCTTTATGATTTATGTAGTTTTTATTTTATTTTATTTTTTGGATGAATTCTAGATGATACTCTTACATTAGCATAATTAACAAATATGTTATGATAAAGTAAAGCATTATTTCTTATATCTATCTAAAACTTAAACTTATTCTTGCCATGATGTCCATGCCCGTGTCCATGTCCATGTCCATGTCCACCTCCGCCTCCACCGACAACCACGGGCTTGACCACTACCACTGGCTTTACAATGACGGGCTTAACGAACACGGGCTTGGGCTTCGTGAATTTCGAGAGCAACTGGCTAGGGTCCGATAAGAAGGCCGGCTTGGCTTTGGTAAGTTTTTCCGGAAGATTGGCGAGCAGTTGGCTAGGATCCGGTAGGGAGACAGGTTTCGGCTTGGTGATTTTAGCAAGCAGCTGGCTGGGATCCGGAAGAGAAGGCATGGCTTTTTCTATGGCGAGCGTGGCCTGCACGCCGCAGAAACACAGGCAGATGGCCGTGGCCAGGAGCACAAGGTAACTCTTGAGCAGATCCATTGTGAGTGTGGCTACTTAGCTGGGGAAGCATCTATTTATGGTGGATAATGTTGATGCTTCAGTGTCCAGTCTACAAGCTTCATTGGCATGCAGCACCTGCCCGATCCTCTAGAGCTTTTATTCAAATTTAAGCCAATCAATTGATCGAAACTCTTCAGACAGTCGGCGACGGCAGCGGCACGAGTAGTTCTGTCAGAAGAATTCCCCCGAGTGTAAGTTGAATTCACAATTACCCGTGGGCAGGGTTTTCCTTCTCGTAATTCTGCGCGACATGTATTTCATGATCTGATCGAAGTTGGCATTCAGGAGACGCTTTGCGAGATTCAAATCAGACATGACGTCTTCAGCTCCCGAGATTGGCATACTTAATGTGTGCTAATATCAGGAGTTGACATAATTTCTTGATGATTTTCTTGACATAATAAATAAAACCTAAAGGCGGAAGTAGAGCTAAGAATTAAAAGATTTTTTGGGCAAAAATAAGCAAATAGTACCTTAAAATGTTTAATATATTTTTATAAATTTTGTTAACCAAAATTTGTAGAGACACCGTCCTATTTTATATTTCAGAAATTGTTTTTTTTTTCCTAGTTTACTGTTTATTTTATAATTTATTATTTTATTTTAAATAAAAACAAAATATTTAAAATCGTTCATGCAAAAAGTATGCTACACTTTTGAACGCAATGTCCAACTATCGATTATGTCCAACTTATCGATTACACCGCTTGGCCCTTTTCGCACAATTACACAACACTGCTATAAGAGGTAAGAAAAATAAAAACAATTTGTTAAACAAACCTTACTTTTTAAAGATAATCTCACATCTGACAGATATGGACGACAGCGTAATAGTCATAGACGACAGCGTGGTGACTGTGGAAGACGACGTGGAAGACGGCGAGCTGGAGGACGACGTAGTACTGGTGGAGCCCGAATCCGAGACAACAACAAATGAGGACAAGCCGCCGGCCGCTGAAAAATCAACGATAAATGAGGAAATTACAAGCAATCCAAGTAGTCAGGTAAAAATTGTAGGAGAAATTAGAATGACGGGTTAATGAACGCCCTCTTGTCTTTCAGGAAAACAACCACGACGAAGAAGACACCTTGGTCTTTGAGGTGAGATTCTCGAAGGAGGAGCGCTTTGCAGGCATTCAAAAACAAATGCTGGAGCTTCTGGAAGTCACCTTTGCCGAAAAGCAGCTCGTTTTCAAGATATATGAAGACGGGGGAGTGATAAGAGCCTTTGAAAACAGTAAATTTCAACCGGAGAAATCTCCCTCTCCCGCCCTGGACACTGAAGATCTCTTCATGATTGACATTAAGCCAGCCGCCAAACTGAATGCCTCGCAGGTGCCCTCTTACAAGCGCAGTGCCGACGTGCTGGACGAACAGACTGAAGCCCGCAAGAAACTAAAAGCCGAGGCTGTAAACAAGTGCTGCCGCCCCAGGGCCCAGGCCGCCTGCTACAACTGTGGCGATACGGACCACTCCATACGCGACTGTCCGAAACCGCGAAACAATGCCCGTATACAGAGGGCCCGCAAGAAGAAGGTGGAAAGGTATCACGTAGACGCGGAACAGCGATTTGGACACATAAAGCCCGGCAGGATCAGCACCAAAACACGTCATGCAATAGGTTACGCTCGTGGCGAGCTGCCCTTCATGTACTACAGGCTGCGCGTCCTGGGCTATCCGCCTGCCTGGCTGGAGGAGGCCAAGGTCCGAAGCTCGGGCATTGCTCTGTTCAATGCTGATGTAAGTTAACCTAATTATCAGATCAGAGAATTGGTTTAATTAACGACTGCTTTTAGGGCACCGAAGTCACCAAGTCCGACGACGAGGACGGGGAGGCAGACACCTTCAAGTACGACATCAACAAGATAGTGGAGTTCCCAGGCTTCAATGTGGAGCCCAGCGGCAAGTTCTTCGATGTAACTATGAGCTTCTTTTCCATTTAAAAGCCCGCTAATACCCTGCTTTCTTTTAAGGACTTTCAACATCACAATGTACCACCGTTCCAAGCGGACAATTCCAAGGATAATTTCATCAAGGCCCTGGGCGAGAACGTAACCAGCGGCTACAGACGCAAAAAATTGGTGGATCTTCCAGCCACACGCGATGCAGGGCCTGTTGCGCAAGCAATCCTCGGGGACTGTGACATGGAGATAGTTGACGAAGACGAGGATCCGCCACTGCCCGCCTCGTTGCCGCCGCCGCCACCTCCGCCACCCGAGTCTACCGAGGAGGAGGAGGAGGCGCAGGCTCGCTCGCCATCACCTACACTGGATGACTTGAGAGAGCAGCAAGAGAAGCTGCTCCTCCAATTGGAGTCAAATACATCGCTGGACACCACGGCGAATGACTCAAAGTCACTGATTGCCCTGGACGACACGGCTGAATTGGAAGCCACAGACATACCACAAACGGAATCAGCGCCCGCATCGCCCAGTAGAACGAGAGCTTCTTCGCCACCTGCCAAGAAATTTAAGGCATCTTTCGAAGGAACACCCGTGTTGAAGTTCTCCGAATTCGACAAACTGCCCGAGGGCAACAACTTTAAGGTGGGCGTAAGCGATGTCATTAATTTCGAGAATCTGCCCGACTCAACGGGAAAGTATGAGCAAATGAAGGATCTGCTGAAGAACGTGCGCGAAAAGATGGTAAAGCTGCAGGGCGAGGACTGACGTTAGAACACTTAAATGAAACCGAAAATCAATTGTACAAATTTTACTCTGTCCCTCCCAACGAATAAGCAATACAAGTTTAGTTTCCAAAGTGTATTTTCAAAAATTTCGGGTGAGTTAATAAGCCTGTGTGTGCGGTTGAGTGTTTTATCTTCTTTCTTGCTTTTTTTTTTATTGTACAATGTCAGTGTGATGTATAATTTGTCTAATCTTTGTAAACGGGGCTACATTTATATATTTATTGCTCTCATTCGTTCCGAATTATGTGGAAAATGTGAACGCTTCATCAATCCGTACAAAGAAACAAAAATCAAGAAATGCAATTGCAAATTGTGGATAAGCTCAGGTTTTTGGCGAAAGCAGAGATCCCCGCTCGAAGCCATCTCTAGTTAATGGCCGGCGGCGGCGGCTGCGGAGGCGGTGGCGAGCCGTCCTGGTTGTGGTCACGCCGGCCGCTTGCTGGCTTGTTGCTGGTCAGCTGGCCCCAGGTACTCGGATTCAGTATGTACATGAACATAGCCACGATCATGAAAATCATGGCGACGGTGAAGCCGCTGCCCTCGCCCCCACCCACGCTCTGCTGCTGCTGCGTACGTCCGGTGACTGAAGGAAGGGATTAGATATTAGGTCCTAACGAAATATGATCGAATTTTCCCCACTTGAAAGGGAGGACTACCCACCATCAAAGCACTCGGTGTCCGTGCAGGCATTCTGGTTCTGGCGTATCTATAAGAAAGGGTAATCCAGAAGAGGGATTAGGAACAGCTGGACGACGGGCAGGACTCAAGAGCCTGGGAACTCACCAAGTTGATGAGTCGCTGCATCGCATACTCCTGCGACCAGACGCACTCGCAGCCATCGAAGTCGTCGGACATGATTTTCGGATGGAAGACGACCGGGGATAAGAGCTTGAGCCTGGGGGGGTTAAAAAGAAAGTTAATTAAAAATTGTATATGAAAATTTTCCCCAACTGACGTGTCTTTCCAACAGAGAACAGGGAGAGAAGTGAATGTTTTGTAGCGTAAAAAACTCAGCTGCGACTAATTCGCTTTCAGGCCGAAACCGAGCTGCGATACGTAACGTCACTTTGTATAGTATATGTACTCATTTAAGTGTATATTCCGATAAAATGGCTATATAGGTTCGGGAGAGCGGCGGTCAGAGAGTGCTTCGAAATCGGTCGTAACGTACCGGACTTACTTTTGCCTTAAACTGGTACGGATTGTCGATTTGGATTATAGAATTTCAATATTGACAGCAGTGTCTAGATCGAACTCGAAACTGACTTGAATGGCAAATCCCGAAACTAATGTCCACCCCAAAATTTAGTTTGAACTCGCACACACAAGTACAACTCCCCAGTGTGTTGTTTTCTGTATGTACTTACTAGTATTTGACTATAAAAAAAAAAAAACACGATTAAACAGAAAACCCACAGCTAGACGACAATTTTTAATCATCGTCGAAACACAAAATTCTTATCAGAATTAAGAACAAGGTCTTGCCATGGCGAGAAATTATTTAGAAGCGCCGTTAAAACCTTATCGAGGTTTCAAAAACGTAAACACAACTTTCCCAATTAGTTGTTGTTTTTCCAATTGGGAGGCGTAAACAAACGGAATTTGCATAGAAATTGCATTACCTTGCAGTTCTTCACACTCTAATTGGTTATGCAGGCATGCCTATCGTCGGTCTGGTTAAATTATAAATTATTAATCATGCTTTTTTACCTCGGGCAGCGTAACTTGTTAATTTTTTTTTATATTTTTCTTACCAACTGGAATGTAGTGATGGGCTTCCTTCGATGGAATAAATCGATACATCGATGCTTTACTCCGATATTTATTATTTCTGTATTCACCTATCGCTTGATTATGCGCGGGTGAAACTGATACATTCAAATTTACAAATCAATATTTTATTTCATTTTTGCTTGAAGATCTTGAATAGTACTTTTCCCCTAAGAAAATTACAAAAGATATCGCCAGACCCACAGACCACAATGCAAAGGCAAAGTAGTAGAACTGAAGGTCAAAGGCCTTGGTCGTAGGCTCCTCATCTCGCATCAGGGTATACATCTTCTGTTTTATCATAACCCAGAAGGTGTCCCTCTTCATTTTCATGTTTATTCCATGTTCCTGGAGTCGGCTCATCAACTCGCTGACCAGTCCCAGATATGGCAAGCTTCTGGACACATAAAATCCTTCGAGGCTAAATGTCACACCCTGGGGGATTACATCGAAACGCGGCGTCTTCAAGAGATACTGCATCATTAGACTCAGCTCCAGACGGTCCTCGAATGACAAATATATATAACTTCTGTTTAGAGAGTCACGATAAGCCTTGAACAAGGTGAGATTAATGGTCACGCTGTTTAGGCGCAGTGCCTCGGGCAGAAAGGTATTTGCTCGATATTGCTTCAAGTATAACTCGTCGTGCAGACTGGGATAGGGGGCATCGACTAGGTCCTCTATGGTTTTATATTGTGACTCGGACAGGCCCGATGTCAGGATGCTGGAGAGCGTGGCCAAGTACAGGTTGGTGAGCATAAAGCCACCGAGAGTAAGAATCACGTGGATCAGTTGGTCCCTCCAGCCTGCAGTCCTTATGGCTTCATTGCACGTATTTAGAATGTGGCTCAGACTATACAGCAGGCACTCGCCCATCTCGTTTTGATCCTGTCCCGAACCGACGTAGAGCATCAGTGCACCATAAAAGACCGTGAAGGCCACAACTAGCCACAGGGTCCATCGAAAGGGCCGCGAGTAGTAGAGGTAGCTGGAGAGCGGTCTGGCGTGAGGAACAATGAAGTATGACTTAATGATCGAAAGTGGCTCTGTATACGGAATGTCCCACTCGAACTGTACATCTTTATAGTAACAAATCAAGTCAATCTCTTTCGTTAATACCATCCTTATCACGGCTCGGTACCATTCGTAATCCGTTTTGGGGCCATCTGGCACGAGAACACTCGTAAGCGAGCCATTAAAGCGGTCTATGAATTCTTTAGCGGCAGCGAATATATATCCTCCTCGTACCAGTTCATTCCGATCGTTGTAGTACTCAAAATCACGAGGAGTTATATTGCTTCGAATTATGCGAACGGGAAAGCCCTGAAAATTACGAATTCTCTTTCCTCTCGTTAAATACTCGAGCCTAATTGGTTGAATTGATGGGTAGGGTAAATAGCTGTAGAGACAATCGTTATATATCAGAATCACATTGATAAAACCCTCTTTGTAGCAATAGGTATAGAGCTCCGTTTGGAGGGATTCAGGATCTTCCTTGCTTAAAAATACTATATGCAGCTCGTGAAGGCGATCCAACAGGAGAGGCAGGAAATCAACCACTTTGGGATCCAAGCCAAATTCCATCAGTTGTACTATGATTAGGGCTTGGCTGGTGAAATTTCCACGAAGGCGAAGATTCATAGCTTCTATGGACTTGGAGGAAAGTTGAATTCTAGGAGTATCCAGACCGTAAAGGATACTTGAGCTGAGGAAATCCTCCACATCGATTAGCACATTGAGTTCAGTTCGCAAGGCCAGATTGAGTTCGTGGATTATTTGGATGTGTCCCAAGACAGGAGCCACAACAAATTGGAGAACGGATATCAGCAGGATTGGAAACATTTTGCCTTGCATTCAGTCGGGGACTCCGGTTTTATATAGTCCGTAAGTGGTTAATGACAAGCAAATTACTGGGAAGCCCCTGATAAAACTACTTTAATTGATTTGAAATGCTTTAATAAAACTGTGTTTAAGGGAGTAAATGGCACAGTTATAATGTAATGGGTTCCTGTCTGTCTAATAAATGTCTAATAAAATAAAGCACAATGTTTTGGGGCCGAGTATATTCTTACTTCCTTTATTTTCTTTTTAGTGGTATAACAAAGTTTTTAATGTACTTTTTTGACAAGAAGTTGAACCCCTTTTTAGAATAAAAAAGCCTTAACAAATGCTATATTTCACATGCTGCTTTATTTAGACTTTAATATCTCCATCACAAAAACTGCTAAAGACAACAAATGGCCCACAGCCCACAGTGCAAAGGCAAAGTAATAAAACTCAAGTTCAAACGCCTTGGCTGGAGGCTCGTCGTCCCGCATCAGAGTGAAAAATCCACACTTTATCATAACACTAAAGGCGTCCGCCTTCAGCTTTATGTTTATCCCGTGCTCCATCACTCTCCTCATGAACTCACTGATCATACCCCTATAAGGCAAGTCATTGCCCACACAATAGTTTTCCATGGTGAAGCCAACTCCTTGGCGAACCAAATCGAAGAGCGGGGTCTTCAACAAGTACTGCTGCATCAGAATCAAGTCCAGGCGGTCCTCGTAAAGCATGTACATGTAGTTCCTGTTGAGTCCATCGCGGTAGGCAATCAGCATGGTTAAATTGTCCATGGTCATACTGTTCCGGCGGAGAGCCTCCGGTATGAACGGTGTCTCTAGTAACTGTCTATGATACAGCTCGTCGTGGATACTGATGTAGGGCGCCTTGGCCAGATCCTGCAGCGTGTGGTACTGAGCTTCATTTAGTCCTGAAGTCAAAATACTGGACAGCATGGCTAAGTATATGTTGGTGAGAATGAATCCAGCTAGCATTAGTATCACATGGATGACGACGTCTCTCCAATCTTCTCTGTTGATATTTCGGTTGCCAGTGTAGAGGATGTGGCTTAAGCTGTGCAGTAGACACTCGCCGAACTCGTTTCGTTGCCTTCCTGTTGCCAGATGGAGCATTAGGGCGCCGTAGACAACTGTTAAGACTATGACTAGCCACAGGGACCATCTGAAAGGTCGGGAGTAGTACAAATAGCTGGATATCGATCTCGAATGAGGCACTATGAAGTATTGAGCGAGGATCGCTAGAGGCTCGGTGGACTGCACATCCCAATCCCTGTCTTTCATGTGACAGGCCACGTCAATCTCCTTGTTGCGCAACCTAGCAAATATATCTTGGTACACTTGATATGGCTCCCCTTCGAGCTGAGGAACAGTGACAAGCGTGGCATTGTAACGATCTATAAACTCCTTAATGGCTGTGAACAAATATCCCTGTCGGACAAGTTCATTCCGTTCATTGAAATAGACAAAATCGCGAGGGCGTCCGGTGCTATTGAGAACGCGAACGGGAAAACCCTGAAAATTTCTCAAAACTCTTCCTCTGTTTATATAATCGCTGATATTTGAGAGCTTTATCGGTTGAATAGACGGATATGGTAAAAAGCTGTAGAGATCCTGTAGATGCACCAGGAGGACATTAACGAAGCCCATACTGTAGCATTTGATGTAGAGCTGCTTTTGGAATAATTCTGGATCCTCTCTGCTTAGAAACACTATATGCAGCTCATGGAGTTCATTCAATAGGCACGACAGGAGTTTGGATACCTCATTATCCAGTACTATATCCGTTAATTGAACTATGATAAGGGCTTGTTCCGTAAAATTCCCACGGATGCGAAGATTGAAGGGTTCGCGGGAGCTTAGTTGTATCCTGGGTGTATCCAGGTTTAAATTCAAGAAGCTAGAGAAATCCTCAAAGTCTACGAACACATTAAGTTCAGATCGCAGGATGAGATTAAGTTCGCTGAGTACTTGGCTGGGTTCTACTTCAGGAGCAGCAACCAAACGAAGAAAAGTCGACAACAGCAGGATTGAAAACATTTTGACTAATTTTCACTCGTGGTAAAAGGCTTTTATTGGCCAAAATGACTTGCCAATATCTACTAGAATAAAAGAATAAATACGTTTTTGTTTTTGTGAATATTCTCAAGTCATTACGTATAGAATTAAGTTAATTAAGGCCAATTAAATGCCACCGCAGACTAGTAACATTTAGGTTATTTATTTATTACAGCTTTTCTTGACTTTTTCCTCATTGTTTCTTCTTGTGGCTCAAGCGCGACTTAATTACCTCCACCAAGAAAACGATTAAGGACAAGCCAAGGCCAACAGTCCATAGACCGTAGGCGAAAAAGTAGAACTGAAGATCAAAGGCCTTGGCCGGAGGTTCATCATCGCGCATCAGGGTGTACATCTTTCGCTCAAGCATTACCTGAAAGGCATCTGCCTTTATTTTAATGTTTATTCCGTGCTCCTGGAGTCGCCTCATGAATTCCGTGGCCAGTTTTAGAAATGGTAAGCTCCTGGACACGGGATACGCTTCCAAGGCGTACGACACAGGCTCGCGAATCAAATCGAAGCGCGGCGTCTTGAGCAGATACTGTTGCATCAGGATCAGTTCCAGGCGGTCCTCGTAAGACAAATAGATGTAGCTCTTATTCAGACCATCGCGATAGGCCGTAAGTAAGGTGATATTTAAGGTCATGCTTTTCTGACGTAGAGCCTTGGGCAAGAACTCATTTCCCATCAGTTGTCTTCTGTATAGCCCGTCATGCAAACTGGGATAAGGGGCATCAGCCAAGTCCTGTACTGTTTTATATTGAGGCTCAGATAAGCCCGATGTCAGGATGCTCGAGAGCGTGGCCAGATACAGGTTGGTGAGCATAAAGCCACCGAGGGTAAGGATCATGTGGATCAGTTGGTCCCTCCAGCCCGTAGTCCTTATAGCTTGATTGCACGTATTAAGAATGTGGCTCAGACTGTAGAGCAGGCACTCGCCGATCTCCTTTCCATCACGCCTCGAACCGAGGTAGAGCATCAGTGCGCCATAAAAGACAGTTAAGGCTACGACCAGCCACAGGGTCCATTTGAAGGGTCGCGAGTAGTAGAGGTAGCTGGAGAGCGGTCTGGCGTGAGGGACTATGAAGTACGATTTAAGTATCGAGAGGGGCTCTGTGTAGGAAACATCCCACTCCATGTCCTTGAAGTAACCAATAAGATCGACCTCCTTATTAATCACCATATCTAATACGGCTGCATACTTTTCCATTTCAGGTAAATCCGGTATGGGAACACTAACGATAGTGGCAGAGTAGCGATCCGTAAACTCTTTCATAGCCGTGAACATATATCCTGCTCGGACTAGCCTATTTCGTTCATCGAAATACTCAAAATCCCGTGGAGCTAATGTGGTCTGGAGTATCCGAACGGGAAAACCTTTAAAGTTGCGAATTGTCCTTCCTCTCGTTAAATATTCGCTGACATTTGCGAGCCTAATTGGTTGAATTGATGGGTAGGGTAAATAGCTGTAGAGACAATCGTTATATATCAGAATAACATTGATGAAGCCCTCTTTGTAGCAATAGGTATAGAGCTCCATTTGGAGGGATTCAGGATCTTCCTTGCTTAGAAATACTATATGCAGCTCGTGAAGGCGATCCAAAAGGAGAGGCAGGAAATCAACCACTTTGGGATCCAAGCCAAATTCCATCAGTTGTACTATGATTAGGGCTTGGCTGGTGAAATTTCCACGAAGGCGCAGATTCATAGCTTCTCTGGACTTTGAGGAAAGTTGAATTCTAGGCGTATCCAGACCGTAAAGGATACTTGAGCTGTAAAAATCCTCCACATCGATTAGCACATTGAGTTCAGTTCGCAAGGCCAGATTGAGTTCTTGGATTATTTGGATGTGTCCCAACACAGGAGTCACAACAAATTGGAGAACGAATATCAGCAGGATTGAAAACATTTTGACTTGCATTCAGTCGTGGAGGAAGGTTTTTATATGCTCGTATTAATGACATAATTGACCTATTTTTTAACGCTTTTAGCTGTCCTGTAATTGAAAGCAATTTACAGAGCTTTAAATGTCCTGTAAAATGCTATTAAAAGGGGAAAGTGTCGCGGTTAAGTAAAAGTAAAAGTGTCTATTAAGCATTTAATGTGTTTAGATTCAAATCAGAGACTCCTATAGGTTTATTTTCATTTAACCAAATATTTGGACTACATTAACCATTACCAAAACGTTTTTTCAGACTAAGCCTTTGTTTTGTTTGTTTTTTGGGGATATTGTCAAGTCATGTGGTATTATGTTATGCCCAGAAAAGGGTTTTAATTGGACTAATTAAGCCTAGCCAAACGAATACTCTTAAATTAAGTTATATCCTTTAGTTCATTTTGTATTTACTTACAAAAAATAACAAAAAATGCTTACTTTAATAGCGGCTTCGACTCAGACCAAGGCGACGAGACTTGTTTGGTGGCATGCAAATCGGAGACATATCCTCTGCATTCTGTTTAGTGGCTGCCGCATCCTGGACGTGATTCGTGTTCCTATCCGCCAGCGGAGTACTTGTTGAGGCTGGCATAGCAGCCAATCGAGATTTAATCGGAGTTCCCGTTGGAGTGCGACTCCGCTTGCGTCTTTTGCTCAGCGTCAAGAGATTGCGGCGGGCTATCACTGAAGTCTTGGTTTTCTGATCCAGCGGCGAAAGGCCGGCCAGTTGCGACAGCGAGGCATGAATCTCCTGCGACTGGATGGGTGTCCCCAGTGCACTGTTGCACGAGGTCGTCTTGTGAACTTGACGATTTTGTTCTGGGGATGAGTTTGAAATCTTGCGAAGCCTCTTACTAGAGGGTATGCCATCGTAGGTATCCCTTCTCTGCTTGGGTGTGCACACTCTTGAGTCATCTTCACAATCGGACAAGATTTTAGTGGTCTGGGATAGTCTGGGAAAAACAGAATCGTTGGCTATGTCTTCGTCTTCAGAGAGTGGAAGTACCCTGTTCTCGGGAAAGCCTTTGAATTTTTCTCCAGAAGTATTATCTGATAAATCAGAAAGGCACTCATTATCACTAGTTGGCTTTTGATTATGGATTACTTCAGATTCTGCCTGTATTTCTGCCATGAATTTGGCAGCTTTGTTTTTCATCTCCTCTGATATTTCGATGCGTTTGTTAGAGGCTGTACGAAATCCGAAGAATTCTGTACCCTCGTCACACGCCTTGTTTTCAGGACTTGAACTTGTATTTTGAGGGGTTTCGGCTTGGAATTCTGCCATAAATCTCACAGCTTTTTCCTTCATTTCTTCAGAGATAACAATAGCTTTGTTTGAGGCAGTACGAAAGCCAACAAAATCCGTACTGCCAGCTTGTTCATTTTGATGATTTGAACAGCTGGCTTCCAGTTTAGCTCGTATTTTCATGTCTTCAAGCTCATGATTTGTTCCTCCAGTTTGAAATTCAGACATAAACTGGGCTGCCTTGATTTTCATCTCTTCTGAGACCACAATCGGCTTGTCAGAAGCTGTGCGAAAGCCAACAAATTCTGAATTAGATTCTGCGACTTCCTTAACCAGAGATGCCTCCTCGAATACTTTATTGGGCCTATGTGACTGATTAGCTGGAAGTATTTCAGGATTCTGTAAGTTACGCCTTTGACTAGGTTGATATAAACCGGACTCCACCTCAGCCATCAACTTATCACCCATAATTCTCATTTCCTCAGCCACTTCCATGAACTTGTAAGGAGTTTTACGGAAGGCAATGAGCTGAGGAATATTCACAGACTGGCTTTTATTTGGCGTCTTGGTTTCAGATGTTGTTTGACTTGATTCTTCTCTTCCGGGAACCTTAGTGGGTTTCTCTGGCATATCAATGGGCTCCCACTCGCTAAACGCTATGTCCTGAAGGATTTCAGCCTCATTTGATTGACTTGGTTGATCGCTGGCCTTAAACTGAGCTATAAACATGGCCCCCTTGCTTGCCATCTCCTCAGTAATCTCAATGGGCTTATTAGAAGCTGTGCGGAAGCCAACAAACTCTGAGGATTCTGTGGGTCTGTCGCTTGGTTGCTTTGGTTCAGTTTCTTCAATATCAGCCAAAAACTTGGCAGCTCTTTCTTGCATTTCCTCCGAAATCACAATGGGCTTGTCGGAGGCTGTCCGGAAGCCAACGAACTCGGGAATCTCCATTGGCTGCCACTCGTCAAGGGGTATTTCTTGGAGAAATTCCGCGTCACTAATGTACTTGGAGGCACTTGCATTTACTGTTTCCTGAGTTTTGTCCTCGCTTGGCTCTATTTTGACTTCTCTTTGGCTCAACTCTTGAGGCTCCTTGATTGACTCTTCTGGTATATCCATTGGGGTTTGCCATTCACTGATGGGAATATCATCCAATAAACTTTGTGTTAAGCTGTCTAGAACTTCAGGCTCCGTTTTAACTGGTTTAATCAAGAGCGGCTTTTCTTCCAGTTCCTCATCACTTAAAGACATCTTTTCGGTGTTGTAGTTCTCCAAAAGCGAGTCTCCTTCCGACCAATCTACGCAGACTTTGGAATCTGTGAAAATGCGGGAAATGTTTGTGATTTTACCAAGAAAGAAAACTGAAATATCTTACCCGACTGGGCCTGGACAATGGTTGTGCTTGCCTTGCCATCACCAAAAAGGGTGTCCCCCAAGATACCTGAAACTGAGGGATAAAACTTATAAATATACATTTAAAGCCCCATGTAGAACAACTTTTTACCTTGAGGTTTAATATCACAGACTTCTGAGGCCTCAAAAGTGAAACCGATGCCCAATAAATCCGTCTCCAGGTTCTCCAACTCAATGGAGGTGCACTCCGCGGACGAATTCGTATCCGAAAGATGGTTATCCTTATCCCGGGAGCACGAAGGTTTCGCAGGATCTACTTTAGTTGGAAGATCAATTTCTATCTTAACAGCCGGCGGCTGATTGGAACTGGAACTGGGGTTGCTCAGCGAAAAGTATTGACTCAGGTTGAGTAAGTTTTCACAGATTTTTTGCGAGGTGTTGGCATCCAGCTCGCAAACAGTCGTGGCCGTCGGAGCTGTGTGATCCTCCTGCACAGAGAGGCCAGAGGAGCAGCTCAGCCGGTCGTCTTCCTCCTCGTCGTCTACTTCTATGGCAACACTTGGCACATTCTGCTGCGCAGGAGCTCGCTTCCTGACGTAGGTTCTGATCCTTTTTTTGCGAAACCGAAACCATGGCGGCGACTCGCTGGTGGGCAGGTCCTCTTCCTCCTGGTACGTCGGAGAGGAGCAGAAATCATGCAGAATCATGTCAACGATTTCTTGGCCGGGTGCGGGTTCAGGTTGCGACCGCAGGAGCTCCGCCATGGAGATGAACTCACTGGTGGCAGGCACTGTGTGATTCTGCCGCCGCGTTCGCAGGGCCTGCAAGCTATCCTGGCGATCCACATGGTATATATGGGCTATTTCGGCGGCTAAATCTCCCAGATTCTTATAGTTCTCAGTTGCGGGTGGATTGTCTGTTCTTCTGCCACGCTGGGCGGCACAACTAGTGGACGGAGGACTCCCCGACGCCCGATCCTGTTCCATACTGTCCTTGAATTCATTAAATTTAATTAAAATCAAGTTATTTCACAAAAATCAAAACAAATACCTGGTTGGTGCCAATCGAAAATGATCGAATATCGATATGAACGCAAAGTCTGGCAACGCTACCAAAAGTACCAGATCGTCCGCTAAGCCAAATCTCACCTGGCCACATTGTTTCCGTCATCTGGCCACATTGTTTCCATCATCTGGCCACACTGGCTCTTGCAAGTAGCGACAATTTTTGCATACAATAATTAAATAATAAAGGGCGAACGCCGACGCTGCGAAACGTTGTTTTTTATTGCTGCAATTGCTAAAGAATAGAGCTAGTGCCACCCGAGAAACGCAGGCAGAGCGGTCGCGAAATTGCAAGCAAGAGCCAAGGGAAAAAGCAGCGACGGCCCAAAAGTGAAAGCCCCAGAAAAAGTACAAAAGAGAGACGAAGAAAGAGCGAGAGAGAGGAGACGAGACGAGAAAAGAGTCTGGGCGAGAGAAAAAAACGATTATTTCAGAGAACACCGCGAATTTTTGTCATATTTTCCCATTTCCGTGTGCAGTGGAACGGGCAGCGCGTGAGCTAAGACCTGGTGAGTGGATTTTCCGCCGATATTCCCCGCCCGAGATCGAAATATATGTGTAATATATATGTAACCCCCAACCGGGCAGCAGAGAACACAGTAACCAGGAACGCGGAGGAAGCCAGCCAGAACTAACCAGCGCGCTGCCACAGAATCGCTTCAAGATTCTCAGCCACATTTACAGCGGGATCCAGATCCAGAGCCTGAGCCACGGGAGCCACCGGGAGCAGCACAGACCAGCAACCAGCGCCACCAGCACTCCACTAGCCGCCACCACGCTCCACAAACAGCCAGCCATCATGTTCGTCAACTCGATGACGTTCCGCGGCAACCCGGCGAATTATCACCAGCAGCAGCCGGCCCTGAACCACCACACGCTGGCCGCGGCGCATCATCAGCAGCAGCTGCACCACCATGCCGCCGCCGGTCATCTGGGCCACGTCGGCGGCGGTCATGCGGCCAGCAATCACCTGGCTGCCGCCGCCGTTCTCGGCCGGCATGGCCACAACTCTCTGGGCAGCGGGCATACGTCCAGCTCTTCGCACTCGACCGGCGTGGGTGTGGGAGTCGGCGGCGGGGCCCTGGCCAGCGGCACTAGTGGCGGCGGCGGCAGCGGCAATAGCTCGCCGGACAGCGGCAAGATCTATATCAAGAACCTGGAGCGGTCCATCGACAACAAGGCGGTGTACGACACGTTCTCCGTGTTCGGAAACATCCTGAACTGCAACGTGGCCAAGGACGAGGACGGTAACTCGCGCGGCTACGGCTTTGTGCACTTTGACTCGGAGGAGGCTGCCCGGGCGGCCATCGAGAAGGTGAATGGGATGCTGTGCAATAACCAGAAGGTGCATGTGGTCAAGTTTATACCACGGCGGGACCGGGAGCAGGAGAAGGCCACCCACTTCAAGAACCTGTACGTGAAGAACCTCAGCGAGGAGTTCACCGAGCAGCACTTGCGCGAGATGTTTGAGCCGTACGGCCGCATCACCAGTCACAAGGTATGTTCTTTTTGGTCACCTTTCCTCACGGCTCTAAGGCTGTGGGTGGGTGGGTGACAGGACTGCAGATGGACAACCATGTGGCACTGTTTCTCACGCACTCAGCCGCGCTCTTAGTTCCGCTCTTTGTCCCCTTGCTGCGCATGCTCACGGGATGAGAGAAAGAGAGAGATGTGACAGCGGGGGAGGACAAGCGACTGAGAGAGAGAGACTTGCACTTGGCCCATCTGAGCGGATTTGTTTATTTCATGGACTTGATCCTTGCAGCTCATGCTGGACGAGGAAGGGCGCTCGCGGCGCTTCGGTTTCGTGGCTTTCGAGAATCCACAGTCGGCGCTGGCCGCCGTGATCGGCCTGCACGGTAAGCAGCTGGGCGACAACAAGTTCTTGTACGTGGCCCGAGCCTTGAGCAAGGCCGAGCGGCAGCAGGAGATCAATCGCAAGCTGGAGGAGCGCAAGCGTCAGAAGGCCGGTCAGATATTCTACTACTAGGCCGGAGGACCAGGAGGAGTTTACTCAGAACCCACATAAATACAATATACACACATATATAAACCCTATATAGCTATTTACGAGAAATTGTATCGGCAGCGATCATTCAGGCAGCTGGCAGGCAGAGGTAGGACGCAGGACACTAGTCCTGCCATTACACATTTAGACGTAGGCAAAAACGTGTTGCAACACAGTTGAAATTTATAGAAACACACACGCGCATAAGAACAGAAACAGAAACAGGACTCGTACTCGAAATCGATATCGAATTGAAAGGATTTTCTAGGCATTAGGACAACAGTTTCTTAGCACTCACTAGCGTTTTTTTGGAATTAGATGTTTGTCTTTACTGTTGAATTTAGTGAGCAGAGGCTTCGGTGTCAGCTTCTCGCCTAAAAGGAACACATTGCGTACGTATTTCGAACATGTATTTACCCCCCACACACCCCAAAACACTCACTGGATCTTTGGCATTGTCGAGCTACGCCCAGATGACATGAATTTACACATACCTTATATATTATTATTAAAAGCAAAACAAAAAACTAAACAAACAAAAAAAAAAAAAAAAACTAAAAAGAAAAATGGAAAAAATACAATTGATGTAATCCCTCTATTAACAATTGAAGCACTCACTCTACGTATATACATAAACATATATATATATATTATATTTAATGTACACGCTGTAGTTAAAAAGCGTTTATAATAATACTCACACACCCTACGCTATAACTAATACTTTTGACGACGAAAGGAATCAAGTGCAACCATTGCGAAAGCGAAACCCTACACGTAATTTATATAGTAGACGCAGCTGCGGATGGAAGGATCAAGAGAGAGATCGATGCTGAACAGGAAAAATAATTAGCAGCAGGACAGAGAACATGAGTATTAAAATTTTAGCAATTACAAGACACTTTTTGTAATTAATTGTACATTGTTTCAAGGTAGCAAGAACGAACATGAAACCACAAAACAGGACAGCAAAGACAGCCGTAAATGTAACGACAAAAAAACAAAACAAAAACTAATTGAATATAACACAATGCAATGTTTAAAATCTTTTAGAATATTATTACAAAGGCACGATATAAAAAAGGAAACTCTGAGACAGGCAGGCAGGCAGGCGTGTATACAATTTAACCCGAAATGAAAGCAAATACATACATAATTTAAGATTATTGAGCTTAATTTTTAAAATGTTTCCAAGAACAAAAAAGCAACAAAAATGAAAACCCAAGAAAAACAAAATATATTGAGAAGCAAAAAACCCAAAAGAAACTCACTCAAAATTTGTAAGACTCAAATTTTGCGTCTACACACAATGTATAGTTAAAACAGTACCACAAGAGAACAAAAAATGAAAATTACCTAACAGAATAGTTATATAAACAATGGCAATATTTAGGATGGCATAATTAATTAATTAATGTAACCTCCTTCCTCCTACCCCCCCTCATTTGACCATATTTATTTCCATTTACATTTCATTTCGAGTGGAGCTTACGATTCTAGTTTACCAGGACAAATGTAGTAGTATTAGGCCTTCCACACACACAACACACACAGACACAGACACACATATGCAATATGAATTTACAAGACAAACAAGAAAATTATCTAATTGAATAATATTTACACGAAATGTACAAAACAAAACAAAAAACAAATGAGATGAAAGAGAAAAAGAAATTTATTTTCCTTTGCCAAGCAAATGCGACATACTTTTTATTATTATTACAAATTATAATTGTAATTGAAACTTAATTTTTGGTAATTGCTTTTGCAGAATTTACCTAAAATAAACAACAAACAAAACAAAACAAAACAAAAAACAAGAAGAAACCCAAAAAAGAGAACCCTTTTATAGTGCTAAATTTTTAGAGAGTACAAGAAATGTTAATTGAAAAACTTACAAAAAATTAATTGATAAACTTACACACAACCACTAAAAAGCCCATTTCGAACACGCAACACATTAAAAAATTACTCAATTTTGCACATTTGCTAAATATGAGACATTTAACGATTCTACTCACAAAAATCTCACCTTTATTTCATTATTATTATTATTATTATTATTATGGCTTGGACTGCGCAAGTTCCACATATTATTGACTAGCGAAACCCACACAAGAAGCACAGAAGATAATACTGACACACGGATGATGGCGTATAATATATGCATTATATATGTAATTCCATTGAAACGAAACTCCTAATTATAAAACATATTACAAATACCTACTTATTAACAAACCTAAAACAAAAAAGAAAACAAAATGAAAAACGAAAAACACAAAAACAAAAACCAAGCGAAAATGAACAAGAAAAATGGAAAAACATTTAATGATGAAAATCAAGATGCAGTGAGCAGAGATATGTGAAACTTGAATAAAAATGCTTTTGCAAAAAGTGTTTGAAATTGCGACCCAGTGTGTATTTATTTCTTAATTTGTTGTCTTATAAATCAGGTTTAAATTTAGAGTTTAAGTTTAACAACAATTTTAAATAGTTTTGTATAACAATTATGATATTTTTGTGGGGATAATCCATTTTTGTGAATTTATACATTTTAATTTAAAATATTTTTTTTTAAGAATATTCCATCTAGCTAAGGCTCCGATTTCAAAAATCGATGCCTATTTAACAACCTGTTTCTGGTGATCCTTCCGCCACTTGTAGTACAATATCTCAAAGGGTAGAACCAACAGACTGACAGCAGTGCCTCCTATATACGCTATCCACACGTAGAACAAGTCATCCCAGATGAGATCGTGATAGCCACCCGGCTCTGTCTGGTCCATGCTGTAGTTCAGCTTGCCAATGGCAATGTGTTCGTGATAGGATCGCCGGAACCATAGATCGTACAGTCCACTAGCCTGCGTATGGCTCAGATATCTGTTGAAGGCATCGCGATATATAGAGTTTCTGGCCATGGGCATGGTCACTGGCATGAAGGGCACAAAACTAATCTCGTTCGATTTTCGAAAGGCTGGCCGTTGCATCTTGATCTGCTTCAGTTGGAGGAATGGCCATAGAGTATTGGTGACCGGATAACCGAATGAAGTATTGAGCTCATTCCGCTTGGCCAAAAACTCCACAAGCGCTGGTGTTATTTGAAAGATATCCAGATTCTTCTCCAGCAGATCCTTTCCTATAGAGTCATTCAATGTCGGGAGCTCCTGTTGGGATATTAAGATTTTACCGTGGGTTCGCCGTAGGTCCTCGTAGCTCAGTATCTTGTAGGCAGCCGGCGGATGAACCAATAGGGTAGCCAAATTGGCGCTGTAAAAGGTGCTTACTATCAGTCCCGCCATCATCAGCAGACTGTAGAGCAGGGTGCGGCTGAAGAAGAGGCGGCGGTTGGGCATGTCAAAGGACTGCGCCAGGATGGCCCTCAGCACGTGATCCGCAAAGATGTTGCCACACCTCAGGGTGAAGTATCCCTGCCCCGACTCCAGGAGCTGGGCATTGACCAGGAATAGGGCCAACACGACCATCAGGCCCAGGAAGTAGGGCCAACCCTTGAGGTTGAAGTACAAGCTGGACAGCGGCATGTCTGGCTCCACGGGTAGCATCAGAAACCAGCTGGTAATCTCCGCCACATAGCTGGGGTAGAAGGGTTCTGGGGCCAGCGTGGTCAGCACCAGTGGAAAGTCCACCAGCCCATCCCTCAACAGACCGGAAGTGACATTGTGATCGGGTGTCTCGCTCTCTGGAACAAGGTCCCATCGCACCAGCAGAGTGGTATTCAAACTCCTGGCAAAGTTCTTATAGAAATGTGTGAGATATCCCGCAATCTGGCGACGTCCTTCCTTGTCCCTGTAGATCACTGAACGTGGCACCAGACTGTACGGAATAATGGCGATGGGATGCCCATATAGATTCCCAACCTGTGGTTCAAAGTATCTTCTGACTTGGACTAGCCTCCGTCGCATCACCTTGAAGTGTGGAAAAGCACGGTAGCTATATATGAACTCCCGATTCGAACCCCTCAAAGCCAGGACATTGAGCATCTGATTGGAACGACAGTCCTCAAATAAAGACGTGATATTGGTATCCCTTGTGGTCATTAGTAAAACGTGAGTGCCGCGAATATCCATTAGATTTTCACACAATGCCTTCATGAGGTCCTCTGCTCCAGAATCCAAGCAAACAAGGGCTAGTATTTTCCTGTTAACTCTACCTTTAAGCTGATTACTTTGATTGGCATTAAAGTTGATATAGGCATAGTTCAAATCGAGTTCGTTTTGCCCCCAACAGGCTTCGGTTAGGGAAACCCCTTTATTTTGCAGCAACAGTAAGGTTCTGAAGGATAGCTCCAGCTTCAGGGAGTGTAAAATTCTTTCCAATGGAACATCCTGGGCTTCAACCAAAATAATTATAATAAGAGATATACTTTTCCACATTTTGCGCTTTACTCGCTATAATTTCTACGACAAATGACACCGGCCCGGGCTTCGTTTCTGTATTTTAGGGACCAGGAATAGGCTTCATTTATAGCCTTAATAGAAGGTTAATAATCAATAGATTTCCATTACGGGCACATTTCTTAACGATTAACATTGGTAATAGCTGGTTAATAAGGCTTATTTAGGTGTCCTTCTCAAACTCCACCTATAGTATCCTAGCTCTAGAAGAAACCCAAGGATACTAATAAGGGTTCCTATTACAAAAGCAATCCATATAAAGTAAAAATCATCCCACTTCAGATCACAATATACTTCTATGTCACTGTCGGTCTTGTAGCAGATTTTATTAAGTGCCCGCAATTCGTTGAAGCTTCGTTTAAACCAATTTACGTACAGACCACTTTCCTGGGTATTTCTCCTGTACTTAAGTAGTGACTTGTGAAAGGGGGAGTTTTCCGGCAGCGACATGGTGAGAAGCAGTAAGTCTACGAATACTATTTCGCGGGACCTCCGAAAGATGGGTCGCTGGAGCCTGACCTGTGCCTGCTCTAAGAGTGGCCACAATGTGGTGGTTACAGGATACGCATATGCTTGGTCCATTTGCATTCGTTTCCGCTGGAAATCTGCCGAGTTTGTGATCTCCAGCATGTTGCGATGTGTATCCATGAACTCCAGGCCCATGGCCTCCGTCATGTACTCCTTTTCGGCGGGAATAACGAGTATCTTCAGATTTAGAGAACGCATTTGCTGCCAGCTATTGATGGGATCGCCGGTCGGTGGATGAACCAGCCAAGTCTCCAGAACGGCGGTGTAATAGTTGCTCATAAAGAAGCCACCTATGAGGAGCATGCCATATATGGTCATCAGTTTGAGGGAGAGTCGTCTTGGCAAGACAAAGGGTTGTCCTAGAGTTCCTCGCAGGGCTTGGTCGCCAATGACAAAACTCCGCCAGCTGGGCCCCAATCCGGCCTCAATGCGATGGGCATTACCCAGCGCCACTGCCACCAGCATCATCAGGGGAATCATGCTTTCCAGTCGCAATCGCTGAACCAAACGATAGCGGGGAATGCTAGGCTCCATGGGCAGCATCAGAAACCAGCTGGACATCTCCAAGGGAACGTTTTGCTTCGCCGTCTCCAGGTCGAGGCCATCAATGCCCAGCGGAAAGTCCACCCCAGCCATTTTGGCCAGTTGAATGACCATGGCCAAATGGGTCATTCCTTCCTCTGGAACTAGATCCCAGCAGATTTTCAGTGTAGCATTCAAGGTGCTCGCATAGTTCCTGATAAAGTGCCACAGATATCCACCCAACTGACGACGTCCATCTGGAGTTCTATAGGCCACAGTTCGCGGCATTATATTATCGGGTAGTATCTTAAGGGTATAGCCACCCAGGTCCTTCAGTTGCGGTTCAAAGTATGTATTAATATGCGTCACTTTTCTCTTTATAAACCGAAATGCTGGAAAGGCTTGGTAACTGTAGACAATACTTCTGTCTGAGCCCTTAAAAGCGAGCACATTAAGCATTTTTTCTTCGAAACACTTTAGAAATAAGGCATTTATTTTGACCTCTGAGGCTGCAAACAATATGGTGTGAGTATCACGCATATCATCCAGGTTTTTGAAGAGATCTTCCATTGCCTCATTTTCGCTTTTGTCCAAGCAAACTAGAACCAATATCTTACTGTTGAAACTATCCTTCAGATACACACTTTCACTAGCGTTGAAATTCAATATAGGCACTGTTTCTTCAAAGTCTGTTTGGTTCCAGCACAAGCTATTATTTTGGTTTTGCAGCAAAAAGATAGTTTTGTAAGCAATCTCTACATCCAGAGACTGCAGAATATTATTTAAGGGCTCGCTGTATATATAGACAAAAGTTGTGATAACTACTAAAAGTCCCAGCCACATTTTTAAGCTGACCACTCCAAGCGATTCGCGTAAACAAACTGCAACTTGGCGGAACTTACACCTAGGGTTAGGGTAATTACCACAAAATCAGATAGAAATCAGTCAAGGAGCAAGGAACCGAAAGACAATAACAACTATAAGGTCATGGTTTTTAATTGCTCGTAAGGGGCAAAAGAGAACTGCATTTGTGGTTTGTTTTGGTTACGGAAAGTAAATTTGGATTAGGTGGTAAGGTAAAAAACAGGTAAATAAATACAAAAATTATAATAAAATTATATTATTAAAATTATACTTATAGAAACTGAAGCTAAAAGCTTAAAATTCTTAACTGGTTCCTCTTGGTGAGAGCAATTATGATGGGTGCGTTGCAACATTAATAAACAACAGTATATATTCCCGTTTTCTGCTTGTAAAAACTTATCTCTTGTTTTAAAAGTTTTCCTTTTCTTGTAAAGCAGTCAGGTTTCAATTTTATTTAAACACATTTAGGTATATATATAAAAAAATATGAAATATGTTGAGCCAATAATTAAAGACAAACTAAACATTATTTCAGATTGACGGTATCCAGAGTTTACTGTAGAATTAGAAATCTTTTCCCTTTTCGACCATACATTTAACGGTTTTTTGCCTATTTATAACAGTTTACAGATTATCAGGATTTCTAAAACGGTCACCTTGTTTTATGAAAGTTTATACCAGTCTATGCCACATTATTTATGTTTTATTAGATTTCCGAGCTCTGGCCACACTTTCACAAATTTACCAGTTTAATACAACAACCAGCTTTTTATATTATTATTTACCAGGAGTAAATGGGTTATATAAAAACGGTATCTATCGCATAAATCGACGGTAATGCTGTAGTCGCGAGTCAACCGGTTGACAATCGCACGAAATACGCAAATAATTCGCAATTTTTAACTGAAGTTGTGTAATTTGATTGGCAGAAGAGTGCGAGGCGAGGCGGGGCAAAAACAAAAACAAAGATAGATCGGGCGATATTGCGGCGATGACGTAGCCGCTCCGCCGCGTGCGTGCTTATATGTGACACACACACACTCATACATATTTAGTCATGAAAATTCCTAATCTTTTGCTTTACGGCTAATCGACATCTACTCATTTTTCTTTATCCACTTTCTTTACATTAGTACCGTTAGGCAGCGAAAGATAGAGAGAGAAGGGAAGCGAAACGATAACAAAGGCAACGCCAACAAACAAAACAAAAACACTCGGGCAAAACGGAGACCAGCGACAGAAAAAGCAAATATACACACAAAACAGACAGTTTGTCGGAAATTATCAAAATTAAATTTGAAAATTCTTCGAAATCGGATCGGGAGCAAAGCCGCGCCCAGCGCCCAACAGCACCACCCCCTGCTGACCACCGAACGGAATCATGAACGCCCTCCTGCGCCACAAGGGACGCAATCTGCGGACGAGTTACCTGGTCCAGAACTTCAACCAGCGGTGTAAGTTCCCAAGAAACAAAAACCAGCAACGGGGAGAGTGGGAAGAAGCCAGCTTATGAAAAATTTCCATTGATTTTACCCCCTTCTGATAGTGTGCGAGCGTGTGTTTGCGAGTGTGTGTGTGTGCTATCCAGTATTTTGTTTTGGCTGCACTTTCGCTGAACAGCTGATTGCTGTGTACTGCGCCGTTAGGCTGTGCGAATTACCCTGGGTAAACTCTACACTTCAATAATTTCCCTGCCACACGCAATCGAGTGATATAAGTTTGAAATCTTAGGATTAGCTGCTAATTTAATTACTCACTGTTATTATTTGTTTATGTGGACTTTAAATCGCGCCATCTGACAATCTTATATTTTGGTTAAGTTATAGAACTAGCTCAATTGAGACTTAAAAACCAGTTTTTTGTTTACTTTATTAAGAATTTCGAACAAGTTATAAGTGTCTTTTGTTATTTAATAATTCATGTTGAGCCTGAAAAAAAGAAAACCTATTTTTATAAAATTTTATAAAATTAGGTTTAATAAAAATAGTCTAAATAAGAAACTTATACTTTAAAGGTTCCACTGTAGTTACTAAATAACAAATCTTTCAAACAAAATCTTTATCAGATTAGCACCCGTCTTGTACCCATTTCTGACAAATTTTCGTAGAGAAATCTAAGAGATTTTTTGCCTGTAGATGTCACTCACAAATTTGGCATTATTTGCGAAACGAATTTAGAATTTCAGGGAATTTCTGGTAATTTCAGAGAATTTCTCTATAGCAAACGACAGGTGCCAAAGACAGGTAGAAGATAAAGCCAGACACAGCGGCACCTGCGAAAAAGTACAGTCACGCAGAACCTCTAAAGAGAGAGACCAAAAGAGGCTTCAAGTGCACCCGAAAATAGGTCTAAAATGGAAATCTAAAATGTTCAAAAAGAAACGAAAAAGAGGTCAGAATCGCCTACACTTTCTCCCCCTCCTCGGCTCCTTATTTCGCATTCACTTACCTTGAGCAATTGCCAAGAGTGAATAAGCGCTAAAAGAAAATAGTAAGAAAAAGAAAAGGAAAAGTGTGCTTGCTGTAAACAATTGCACTCTCGTCGCACATTGCTCAATGTTTGCCACATCGTTTATTTATAGAGGAAAATTCGCAGCGTAGAGAAGGTTTGTGTGGGATTTACATAAGCTATATACTCCAGGTGTTAACTCTCGAACGTTGCCGGCGATCTTTGCCTTTGCCATTATCAACTCGTTGTTGCGTCTACCTCCAAATCTCCAAATCCCAATAACAAACCGTTATCAAGCGGTTATCAAGCTTATCACCTGCAAAACTTTTCTTGTGTTTTGTTCGTTTTGTGATTAATAATTTATTGTGCGGTTTTGTTTTCACTCTTTGTTTGCCCCCTTTTTGTTTTCTCCTTCCAATGCCGGCTGTTTGAGATTGTTGAACTGTTTTCATTTTCTTAAAAAGAAAGAAAATGTGTTTCGGAAAAGCCTTCAGGTTGTGGGGGGTATTATTTACTGTGTATTTAGTTCATTGACCTGAAGAATGTAATCTTTATAAAAGAATATTCGTCCAATAAAACGTTATTCCATTTCAAAGTTCTTTAAAAGTTAAACCCCTCACTGATCTTCATTTCTCCAAACCAATTTCAGATCTCAAATCGAGTTGTTGCGCCTGCAGCTCGATCAACTCTACAGATGACACCGCCAAACCGGACGAGCGGCCAAGGAGATCCGCATCCACTTCGATGCTGGAGATAAGCAAAGCCCTGGGCTCTTGCCAGATCTACGGTCACCGGAGGTTCCAGACACAGCACAGCTATGGATACCATTACTCAGGACATGGGTTCAGGCATCTTCATGTCAGTCGACATCTGTTCGAGACCTCCAGCTCAAAGATCGATGTGACGGTCAAGAAGTTGAAGAACCAACAGAAGGAGAAGGTCGAGGAGATCATGAAGGAGGTGGCCAACGGCCAGGCAACGGGAGGGGTTAAGGGCGTTGAAGCCACTGCCACTGCCTCCACTGAGAAACCGAAATCGGAGGGCGCAACGATGGGCGAAACGTCGGCGACGTCTAGCTCGGCGACCACTGTGGCTAAGTCCACGGACAAATCTGTGGCCAAGCCAAAGAAGTCGCTGGGAACTCGTATTTGGGACGAACTGGTGCACTACTATCACGGCTTTCGCCTGCTCTTCATTGACGTGGCCATCTGCTCGAAACTGCTCTGGCGGGTGCTCAACGGCAAGACTCTGACGCGCCGTGAGAACAAGCAGCTTCAGCGGACCACCTCGGACCTGTTCCGCCTGATCCCCTTCTCTGTGTTCATCATTGTGCCGTTCATGGAGCTGCTGCTGCCGCTGTTCATCAAATTTTTCCCTGGCATGCTACCCTCCACGTTCCAGACCTCCAACGATCGGCAGGAAAAGCTGCGGCAATCTCTAAATGTTCGCCTCGAGGTGGCTAAGTTCCTGCAGCAGACCCTCGACCAGATGCCCGTTCAGCACAAGGAGCACAGCAGTGAGGAGGCCAAGCAGTTTGAGGCCTTCTTCACCAAGATCCGTAATCCCAACGAGGCCGTCAGCAACGATGAAATCATCAAGTTTGCCAAGCGCTTCGACGATGAAATCACTCTGGATTCCCTGTCGCGGGAGCAACTGGCGGCCCTCTGCCGAGTGCTGGAGCTGAACACAATCGGCACAACCACACTGCTCCGCTTCCAGCTGCGCCTCAAGCTGCGTTCTTTGGCCACCGACGACCGGGTGATTGCCCGCGAGGGCGTCGACACCCTGGATCTTTTCGAGCTGCAGCAGGCGTGCAAGGCGCGCGGCATGCGTGCCTATGGCCTTACGGCCGAGCGGTTGCGTTTCCAGTTGAAGGAGTGGATTGACCTTTCACTGAACGAACAGGTGCCACCTACGCTGCTGCTTCTGTCACGAGCCGTACTCGTCTCCGACGACAGCAACACCACCGACAAACTGAAGGAGACCATGCGCGTTCTGCCGGATGCAGTGGGCGCCCACACACGCCACGCCATCGGCGAGAGCGAGGGCAAGGTGGATAACAGGACCAAGATCGAGATCATTAAGGAGGAGGAGCGCAAGATTCGTGAAGAGCGCGAGGAGGAGCGCGAGGAGGTAATCGCCAAGCGAACGGCCATCAAGGAGGAGGCTCCCTCTCCCTATGTATTCTCTAAGAAAATGGAAATAGACGTGGACGCAAAGAAGTCGGAAGTGTGTGAGACCGATAAGGGCATCTCCTCCACCGATGTCCAGTTGCTGTCCGATGCCTTGAAGACTCTCTCGTCCGACAAGCAGCTTGTGGTTGAGAAGGAGACGATCAAGGAGTTGAAGGAGGAGCTGGCCGACTACAAGGATGATGTTGAGGAGCTGCGGGAGGTGCGCCAGGTGGTGAAGGAACCGGTGCGCGAGAGTCGAGCTGCGAAGATGCTCTACAACCGGGTCAACAAGATGATCGCGGAGCTGGATACGGTCCTAAACGATCTGGAGCATAGGCAACTCCAGATCAAGCAGGCAGACACCAGCGATTACGCGCCCTCCAGTCCCGACAAGGTGCCAAATATGGTGCACATCGACGAGCTAGTTTCCACAATTCGACGCGTAAAGGAGGCCTCGGACGAGGAGCGCTTCAAGGTGGTCGAAGATTTGCTGGTCAAGCTCGATGCAGACAAGGACGGTGTGATTTCAGTGAACGAGATCACCAAGGTGGTGCAGAGCATCGACAGCGAGGCCGTCAAGATCGACAAGAAGCAGCTGGAGGAGTTCACCGAGCTGCTGTCCAAGCAGGCGACGCGGCGTCGTCATGAGGAGATTGTCCGCATCGATGACCTCATGAATAACATCAAGGTGCTAAAGGAAACCAGCGACGAGGCGCGCCTCAAGCACATTGAGTCTGTTTTAGAGAAGTTTGATGCCGACAAGGATGGCGTGGTGACGGTCAACGACATCCGCAAGGTAATTATCCTTGAAATAACTCGAGTCAAAGGTATGTTTCTCATATTCTGTGTATCGTTAATAGGTAATGGAGTCCATTGGCCGTGACAATATCAAACTCAGCGAGAAGGCCATCGAGGATCTTATTGCCATGCTCGAAAAGGAGCAGGTCCTGCAGGCCGAGCAAAAGATTGAGAAAGCGATTGCGAAGAGCATGAAGGAGGCTGAAAAGCTAAAGAATGAGGTGGAGAAGACGGATAAGGACCTGGCCAAGCTAGTTAATGACATTCACGACTCTGCCAAGGAGATTCAGGACATTGCCCACGAGCTAGGTGCTTCGTCGTCCTCTGCGGATAAGCTCGACGATAAAGCTAAGCCGTTGAAGGAGGAGGTAAGTCTTGAGAGTTTCTTTTCCTCCTATATCCTAATGTTACAATTGCTTTTTTTTCAGCCCGCATTCAAGGACACGGCCAAGACGCTCAAGGACAATGCGCCGGACCTTGACGAAATAGCACCGAAAGTTCTGCCTGTGGAAAAGAAAGATGATCCCAAGAGCAGACCGCCAACGAAAAACTCGGCTGGCTCCGATCAAAGCGGAAAGTCTGGTGGTGGAGGCGGCGGCAGCGGTGGCGGAATTCCTGGCAGCGGCACTGCGACAGAAGCAGTTCTGCGGGAGGCGGCTGAGCGGCAAATAGAAAAGATTCTACCCCAGACGGAAATGGGCCTGCCACCCACGATACAAACACCACCACAGAAGAAAGCAACGGCTACGGCCAGTGCAACGTCGTCGACGAACTCGTCCAAGAAGCTGCTCTGACCGACTGAGGGAGAGCCTGGGCGCGTACCTAAGCCGAAGTGATGTGGTGGAGATGAGAGTGGCTGCTCGTGTGTTCAGAAATGTTCTGACTATAGTATGAGTTGATTGTTAACACTTAACATAAAGCGGGGGCAAGTCCCCAACGAGAAATTGAAACTCTGTATTTAACTGCATCCGAAATCCTTGAGCGGGATCAAGAGTGCCTGTTCTACTTAACGCCTGGCTGTAGTTTGATATTCTCTAAGTAATGCACAAAAAACCAGAAACTACTAGAAATACATATGAATAACCACACTTAATCCTACGTATCTTGATTTATGAATGTCAAATGTCCTAGTTTTATGTTTTCAAACCTCCATATATGTGTGTTATGTAACCCCCAATCCACGGACGACTTCACTTGGCCCCCAAAACAATATTAGCGAAGCGATTGTGATCATTAAGCGAAATGTTATTTTACGATTTAAACCCTATGCTCTATTAAAAAACGAATTAATTGTAGGCGACAAGATATTGAATTTGAATTGAAACCGCGTGATAACTCTAAACAATAATAAAGTGTGTGCTTGAAAACGAGTTAAAGAGAATTTGTAAAATGTTTCGCAATAAAAGTTAGTATAAAAAAACAAAATTTGTAGTATTATTTGCAGTCTCAACAAGGAGTGTTCATTTCAATTATTTTCCATGCCAAGTAGCAAAATTTTCATCAAAATTAAAACTCATTTTACCCGCAAAGCAAAAACCTTTCGGGGGGCATTTTAAATAATGAACTCCAACCACCAAAGAATGGCTCTTACAAACCGCATTGATTGCTCAGAATTATATTTTTGCATTGTTTATGGCCCTGGGGGAGTGGTTGGGTGGTCAGGGAACTAGCTTGCTTGCCTGGCTCGCTGTGATTCGCAATCGACAACCGCAAAACCCCAACTTTTACGGCAACCATCAGGACTTTGGCCGAGGCCAAACTGGAAGCAGTGCATTGCAGCACCATGTCCTGGGCAATAGAAGTAATAAAAATTACCACAAAATGTTCGAAAATTTCATCTTTGCCTGGCCACTGACCCATAAATTCACATCATATTCCCCAAAACTCGGCCAAGGGGAGGAAGTGTGGTACTCGTAAAATATTTAAAACTGCTCTCAGATATTTTGGCATTCTTTTTGCCGGGTCACCCGCAAGAATCTTGTCGTAAATTTCGACATCTTTCAAATGGACTATTGATCCTGTGATCTATGGGAGTCTAGGATCCCCATAACAATCATCCATCACAATTTGTTCGCCAAATACCAAGTAAATACAGCGAAACTTTCGCCCCAACAACGAAATCGAAAACAAATAAAGGCAAACCGATGGAAAAGAATAAAACGGAAATTTATTTAAAGGTAAATAAAACCGCCAAAACGCGAAACAAGCCAAATAATAATAAACTTCAGCCCCTCTGGGAGCCAGCGAGCTAGCTGCTGCGGGCCAAGTGAGGATTGTTGTTTGCAATCAGGCAAAACCCAACAACCGCAGACAAGCCAACTCAGTGGACCAGCGCAGGAGGAATTCCGGGATCCGGTCTGACTCTGACTGGCCCTGGACAGGATGGACAGGAAAGTTGTGCAGAGTGTCTCGGCGAAAGTTTGCTCAGCTGAAAGTGCTTCGAATGCAACAATGAAACCCGAAATCTGCCATGAATTGCAGACAATCAGTGACAGAGACCGTAAGACAGACAAGCGGACCCGGCGTATTTAAAGTATTTTTGCCATGGAATGAAGTTAATAAGTCTGAAGCCAACGCCCCGTAGAATCTCTGTGCCAATGAAATAAAGCAGCAAGACGATAACAAACTCCGGCGGGGAAAAAATCGCAAAATTATTTGAGGAAATGTTACAAAACAATTAAAAAGTTGCAAGACTTTCATGAGTCAATCAAAAGACCGGGAACCGCAACGAGTTTCTGAAAGTTCCTCAACTTTGCGGCACTTTAAATGCCAGACAACACAGGCCAGCAGCAGACAACGCAATACGCATACGCCCCGTTGTATGGCATGTGAGTGTGTGTGTGAAGAACGGGTATGGGGTGAAAAACATCCGTCGCCCTCGACTTATGCAATTTGTCCTTGCTGAATTTTATTTTCTGGGCAATCAGAGCCAGAAGCCGAAAGCGAAACTTTAAAAACTGCTGCAGCTAAACAACGGACGGAAGTGGAGGACTGTCAGAAAGTCGGCTGCTGTCAGTTACGGCCCTTGGCATGTGCTCCACATATTTCGCATTATAACACGAGATGAGCTAGTCGGAGGCGGCGATGCACACCAGATGCAGATGCCTAAATGAATTGCTGCCTTTCCAAAATTTAATTTATTTTCCATTCGGTCTGCTCTAGTAGCTGCATATTGCAATTAAAATCTATAAAGATATTTTTTCCGCACTTAAATTGAGTTATCGTTGCTTTAAAATAAACTGGATAATTCAGAGAATTTTGTTTATTTAAATAAATATAAAGCAGAAATTGTAAGAGTTCATTTTCATAGATTTTTCTTTGAATATTGAAGAAGAAACCTGCTATATTTTTATACATACATATATAAATCAATTTTATTTACAATCTTGCTAAGTCAAAACTACTTAAAAAAGACACTTGGGTGTTACTTAAAACCTTCTCTAATTTTTTCTTGGTACTCGCTTCTGGAAAGGATCCCCCAGGCGGTGGAACCAGCCGTACCTCATGCTGGTGGCCTCGGGATAGTTGTACTTGGCATCCGGAGTGCGTTCGTATCGCTTCTCTAGATAGGTGGAACGTTGTCCACTCTGCAGTAGCTGCACCTCTGTGGGCGACACCGATTTCATGGGATTAATGGGATTCTTGTGACACAGGCCATAGTCATTTCGCTCCAACGGTGACAGATCGTAGGAGAATATTGTGGACATTGTGGGTTTGTAGGCGGACTTGGTCACCTTAAAGTCGTTCCCTCCAGAAATGGGATTCTTTCGCCGGAAATCGGGGAGCATCACTGGATTGGTGAGTGTCCTACCGAAGGCTATGATTTTTTGGGATTCTATCCTTCTAGGGGACACTGTCGTCTTTGGAGGAACTTCCGTAGTTATCCTCGTCTTGGTCTGCTCTGTCTTTTCTTTAGTTAGGAAAGTTTTAACATTTGGGCAAGGATTATGCTTCTGCTCTACATTTGGTGGCTTTTCCGGAGTCTTTTTAGATGTCTGACGAGGTGATACTGGTGGAGGAGCTGATAGACGGGAAGGAGCTGACATAGCAGGAGGAGTTGATACAGTAGGAGCTGATTTAGCAAGAGGAGCAGCGGCAGACTTAGCCACCGGCTTGACCTTTGCCCCACGCCGGAGGGAGTGTATTCGGGTGGATTCCACCGGTGACGCGGGAATCGCAACAGAGAGCATTGTATTAATTTGCGATAAAATTTTTTGCTTGTGTGCACTTTGAAATTTTGATGTAACTTGTTTATTTATAGGGCTAAACATTGTTGATGCTAATACAGAAAATAAATTTCTATTGCTTTCAACGGAAAATGACTGAATTATGCCTGATATAGTGATTAGTCCATGGCCTTTATACAACAATATTCCCAAACATATTTATTATTCATTTTGGGTTGTTTTCCTTTTTTATTTTGTAATAAACCGTTTTTCTATTTTGGTTAGCTTTAAAGCACTATTTTTCTAAGCTCCCAAACTGCTATGAAATGCTACCAAAAAAATAAAACCCTTAAAGCAAACTTTAAATAACCAATAATTCCCTTTGGCCAACGAGAGTCTTTATGTCTTTCATAAATGCCGATTTTGATTTTCGATGAATGGTAATCCCCAGCTGAGTTTTCCTTTGGCCTTTCCCTTTCCCTTCTTGTTTTTTTTTGCGCTCGTAACCCGAATTTGTGTTTATTTTCAATTTGTGTGTGGTAGTGTGAAAATATAAAGTGGATTATACAGAGATAAGGGCGCTCTACAGACACATTTTTCTCCCATTTTCCGTGTATTTTTTTTCTGGTCAAAAGGAAGCTCTGGTGGTGGTGTTGGCCCGCACGTTGGCCATAAAAATATAGCAGATATGTCGCCAGACTGTGAAATGTTTATATGCATGGAGGTCGCGTGTCGTCGTGGTCATCGCCGCCATTGCAATTGCACTGCCGGGTAAGCTCTATAAAGCTGGGAACCGAAGGAATCGACAGGTCCTTCCTCCGGCATTTCGGTCAGGCTATATCTTGTGACTTTGATTTGGTCGCATTTCAATTGGCTTGTTTATTTCCGAATTTATTCTGTTTACTTGCTTTGGCTTCGTTAAAGGTGTTTGTGTTTTGGGATATTTCCGGAAAGTTTGTGCTTGTGTGAGGTAGTTCCTTCACCTGTACTTGCATAAATTAGCTGCAGGACGTGTGTTTTTATTGTTATTTTTTCCCTAAACTTTGCTATCTGTTGGTGAGGAAAATATATCAATGAAAAAAGATACTTTTGCAGCAATATTTGAATGGTTTACATTCGCATTTAAGAAATTTATCCCAGATAGATTTCTCCACTTCAAGTCCTACTTCAATATGATAGATTGTTCTTCTGACATGAGCTAAAAAATGGAAGGACTTGCAACTTTAATAAGACAAAAGTGCGCGACAGCTGAAGCACTCGCAATTTCCTCGACCCTCGCTGACCATTAGTGGAAATCGTCGCTCCATGCACCAACGATGCTCCTCGTTACTCGCACTTCGATTTTTCCATTTCCATTTTCTTTCGCTGGCTGCATTTTTCTCCATCAATACCTTCCTGGCGGCTCCCATTCCCAGCTCCAATCCTCTCCAGCTCCTTAATTTGCACAGCATTTGTCGCCATTTGGCTTTTAGTTAGCGGAGCGAAGAACGAGAGGATGGAGAGGGTGGCTCTGGGACTGACTGATGGAGCTGCAGTTGCACTTTACTGCAATTGGTTGCACTTTATTCGCGGTTGTGCGTGAGTGCAACTGGAAACTTCCAAATGGAATTGGCAGTGCAGCAACTTGCAACTTCTAAATTACATTATTGCCTTCCGCCCCGTAACCCGGTAACCCGCCACCCGCCACCCGGAACCCGGAACTGAACTCCTCACGGACATATTGTGTTCCTAATTAAATTGAGTATTGCCCATATCCGAAACCAGCTCACGTATTAATGTCCTAATGACTAGCAGGCAGATCCGCCGATATGCCCGTCAAAGTTACTGTAAGCGTAATGAGCTCTTCTCATCTCAAGGAAGAGATTCACTGAGGGAAAATGTTTACAGATTGGGTTTCCTAAATGATAATAATTTAATATTTTAAGAATGAAATAACTTGTAGTTTTCTTTAACATTATTTTTTAGAAGTTAGCACAAAACTATTCTAGAAATCAGATTTCAAAAGCGATTTACTTCTCAGTGTTGATTTAAACACTTTGCTGATATGGGCAGCTGCCTCCCGGCCAGCAGGTGCTGCTCTTCGGTAACATCTCCAAGTTCAACAGGCACATGGCCAATAAGCACAATCGACCTTATAAGCGGCCATCAAAGGACGCAGCTTGTTGGCCAGACCAAAGTTCGTTGACTCAAAATGGCACTTTTGGGGCGAAGCCCTCGCAAACATCTACATAAGCAGCAATGGCAGCTCCAGGACAGAACAGAAGCTGGGATCCTTCCGAGGAGATGCGAAAGGACTAAGTCAACAATGGCGTGTGCATTGCTCGGTTTATTAAAAAGGGCTCAGGCCCAGGTGAATGTCTGAGCGCGCCGTTTGAAACATCAGGTGCCGGGGCGAACTCTGGCCCTCTCCCCTGCTTGTCGTGTGTTTACTTAGCCGAGACACACGCAGCTTACGTATACATAATATAGAGATAGAGTCGTGGCAAACCGGGCCAGTACCCGTCTGCACTCAATGGTCAAAGGTCATTTGCATTTTGCCGCCGTCAGCGTGTCCCGGGAAATCCAAACAAAATATAAACGTTTCCCAGCTGCCGGCGAGCAGGGGTAACGGCTGAAGCTAGAAATACAAAACTGATTAAATGGCTGAGATTGGAGGGGCAGAAAAAATATCTTTAATAAATAAACAAGTTAAGTTGAAGACTCTGTTTTTTTTTCTTGTATTAAAATATATGTTTTTTGATTACTTAAGAGGATTTAGTATAAATTAGGAGTTCAGGAGTTATTTAATTTACAAATATTTTAGATATTTTCAGTATAACGTAAAACAAATACGTCTCTTTCCTTTTTATTTATATTTTTCTTGGTGCAGCTTAAACCTGGCCGATAAGTTGAATGAAGGTATGAAGGGAATGCAATAAATTTAATAAAATCAGATACAAATCGGCGACTCACGACCATGCAACAGAAAATTATATTATATGGACTTTCCAACAATGATTAATTGACAATTTGCTGAAATATGTTTCTTGCATGCCGCAGGCCCAACAAGGACTGCCGACATTTTCAGCATGTAAACACATTTCCATTTTCATAGCTCCACTCCCGATCTCCCATCTTCTTCAAATCGCTCGTCATTAATTTCCACACATCGACGCGGGAGTGGGGGGAATACTTGCCCCGCTCCGAGCTGGAAGCACTTGAAACTGTGCTCCAAACCTTGTTTATCCACAACAGCGTCCTCAACTTTTATTGGGTCCTTAGTTGCGATGACGATGGGGGGTGTTGTGGGGTTAGAAGCAAGAAAAACAACAATCAACACCATTTGACGCTACAAATTAAGCTCGAAGCAAACAAATCGTGGTAAGTTCCCCTGGCTTTGCCCCGCCAAAAGTTTGTGCTGTTTTTGGCTCATGTTGTTGCCTTGTTTTATGTGCCTGTTGTCTTGCGTACATCCCCCCCTCAGCTCTTTCGATTTTCCGCATTTTCTGCTTATTGCCTGGCCCTATAAGCCACCCTTCTTCTTCGATTGCCTCAAGGGCAATTTCTTGTGTTCGGTGTGAAGCAGCATTTTCGATTGCCCCGATGCTCACTATTTATGGAGCAAAAGTGCTTAATCAAATGCCGAAAACGGGCAGGAGCACGCACCGAACACCGAACACCGAACACACGGCGTATACTTAATGCTGGCACATGGCCCGGGGCCAGAGACACTCGTTTCTCCATCTGGGGTTTGCTCCATCTTGTGCAAAGTGCTAATGAAGCCATGGCCCTTAAATTGGAAATGTTTATTTAATTAACAAGCTCAACGAGAGCTTAACTATTGATGGAGCTGCCATTTAAGAGGGTGAGTGTTTTGTTTTTCGAAAAGTTCTATAATTCTCAACAACATATGCTGAAGGTTATTAAATAATAATAATTTAAATAGAGAGCTGTACTTAGAGCTCCTTCAAAGAGTTTTTCAAGTTTATAAAAATAAGTTTTTTATAAGCTCAAAATATTTATTTTAAATTGTATTAATAAAAACTATTATTTGATCTATATTTCTAAATTGAAGTGCTGACTAAAATTAAGCAGAAAATTGTTGATTTTGGTATTCTGTTCTGATTTTTAAATTCCTTTAGTTAGTTTTTAATTAAAATCAAAAAATATATTAACAAATCGAGCTTTTTCATATGCTGCCGTCGACTAATGCATTTTGATTGTCAATTTTGATAAATGCCTTTATTAATTCATTTAGCGCTTGAACCCGCGGCCACGGTAATAAAATTTTAAATAAAATTCGTTGCGTTGGCAGGGAAAATAAAACAGATTTTCCTAAAAAAAATAGAAGGCAGAGGAAAGTGCGACAACGTGTGTAAATTGGGAGTGAAAATAATTGCATTTTTGTGATTCTATTTGTCGGTCCGTTTTGTTTGCCGCCATGCTTAATTTATTTATTTGGCAGTCGTCGCAGTTTTGTAAACGTTTGTTTTGGGGGCACATTGGGTGTTTCGTGATGGCACGTGTTTAATCCTAGTAAGTGTGGGCCACACCTCCCGGATCTGCTCCAGCCAGGAGAAGGAGGAGGGGGAGGAGGGGGAGGAGGAGGAGTCCACCCTCTGCGTTCCGGTGTCCCTTACTCCAGCGCACGGTTGTCATAAAATGTTAAATATAAATTTATGGCGGACTGCGCGCTGCTGGCATACTAAGCACCGCATCTTGGCTCTGCCATGATGTTGGATTCAAAGTCGGATGCGGATGAAGGCCCCCCAGCTTGGCTCCTCTGTTGGCTAAGCACATTAGCCAAATGAAGCTGTTTCGATTACGATTACGTTTGGACAGAGATTTTGTTGCATTTTGAGATTTTGTTGTCAGCATTCGAGGCTGGTTGTTTCCCTTTTAAGTAGGACCTAATGCCGGGTGTTCCCGGGTTTAAAAGGAGGCCCAAATCAATAGCAATTTGCGCAGAATTTTGCTAGTTATTATTATGGTATAACAGCTTCATTTGTAATTGTCTCAATTTGTGACATCAATAACTCGATTAAGGCGATAATTGTTAATTCGCATATAGAATGGATTATGCGCATTTGCCATTATTGCAGCAAATTCAATTATTTATTTTATTTCATAGCGATTTAATTAAAGCTTGATGGCGATGACAGCTACAAACTGCATAAAGTGATTATATATAAAACGATTTAATTGTATTCCAGTTAGTGGGATGTTTTAAGGTTATTTCATTAAGAATGTGTGCAGAAATTTGTGTTGTAAATTTGATGACAGCAATTTGTGGTATTTATCACTTCTAAATTGCAATTAATGTATAGCTTTTATTAGAAGTTAGATGCCATAAGGGAATTTCTATTAAATAATTTGGAATTTTTTAACTAAATAACTTTTTATAATACTAGCAGGCTTTTTGGCATCATATTAACTATCATAATATTTTTTTAAGTATTCAGAAAATTCTTAGCTCTTGAACATACATAACTAGTACATAAAATATAGATACATTTTTTTTTAATTTCCAAAGATTATTAAAAACAATTCCCATGGCTGGCCGCTATGATCGCGCTGTGACCATTTACTCGCCCGATGGCCACCTACTCCAGGTGGAGTATGCCCAGGAGGCGGTTCGCAAGGGCTCTACAGTGGTAAGCCAAGATGTTTCTTTTCAATTGGAAGATATATTTCAATGTACTCCTTACCTCAAGATTGGTCTGTGCACCACAAACTCCATAGTTTTGGGCATGGAGAAAAAGAACGTGAACACCTTGCAGGAAGAGCGAACTGTTCGCAAGATCTGCATGCTGGACGACCATGTGGTGATGACCTTTGCCGGCCTAACAGCCGATGCCCGGATCATAGTCAGCCGAGCCCAGGCAGAGGCGCAGAGTCATCGCTTGAATTTTGAGAAGCCCGTGTCTGTGGAGTACATAACGCGGTGGGTAACACTAAACGGATTTTGGTTTTTCCATTACCCTTCTTGCACTTTTCCACATTTTTCCAATGCAGATTCATAGCCCAGATGAAGCAGAAATACACACAGAGCAATGGCCGGCGTCCATTTGGCTTGTCGTGCTTGGTGGGTGGCTTTGATGAGGACGGCACTCCACACCTGTTCCAAACGGAGCCCTCGGGCATCTTCTACGAGTGGAAGGCAAGTGGCACCGGACGCTCGGGTGCCCTGGCCCGGGCGCATATGGAGAAGCATGCCGACGAGATTTTGGCCTCCGCTGATAAGCCCATGGCCACGCTGAAGCATGTGGTCCGCACCCTGGTGAGTTCAGCCACGTTGAATCAGAACCAACTGGAGGTGGCTGTCCTCGAGCACAAGCAGCCGCTACGGATGATTGATCACCAGGTCGTCGCCGATCTCGTGAGGGATGTGCACCTGGAAATGGAGGAGGAGGTCAAGCAGCGGACGCGCAAAACCCCACGTCCTTGATTCTGGACACTGCCAGCGGGCAGGAGAACACTTTACGAGATACTCCTAATCAAAAGTTGATAAACCATTCCTTTCCTGGCATCGCATAGCTTGGTTTTTCTTTTTGGGCAATTCAATTTCGGCCAGGGAGATGGGGAAGGAAAAGTAATCAGCAGGAAAAATGTGTAAAGCGGGGCAAATCACTTAATTTGTCTCGAGGGCGTATTTGTTTACTTTATGTCCTAACGTCCGCTCTTTTTTTTCCAGCCAACCAAGTTAAAAAGTTTTAAGTGAAAATGGGAATTGAATTTGCTAAAAAAAAGTAAGAGAAATGCGTGAACACCAGCAGAAAATGTTTGTCTAGTTGAGCTTTGATTTTTTTTGATGTTATTTAAAAATTGAAATCTCGGATTAAAGAAAACAATTTAAAAATTAGTTTAGCAATTTCTCGTTTAATCTCTGATTTATTTCAATTAACAAGGGATTCAGTTTTGTTCTTAGTGTAGCCGCTGTCGATTTTCTGTTAGTTCCATTAAGGCTTTCCTGTTCCTGGCACACCTTTGGCTCTCCAGGCTGTCATATTTCCTAGAAAAAGTTTTCCGGAATCGAGTGCTTCAATCAGAGGCGAAGGACTCCAAGCCAGGCTGTGGTGTGAGAATGAGCAAACTGCAGCTGAAACCAACGTTTAACCCTTTAGGCTCGTCAAGCCCGCTTGGATTATTTCGTCGGTGAGCAGGAGATTGCCAGCAATAACCGAGCAGGAGTTTAGGATCTGCTTACGCACACAGTAGTTGTCAAAGATGCCAGCAGCAGCAGGGTCCACAGTCTCTCCGGTGACCAGGTCGAGACCCACGGAGAACTCAGCGTCCCGCTGCGCCTCCGACAATTTGACAATGGTGTCCTGGACATCAAAGCCGCTGTTCGCGGCCAGGGTCTTGGGTATTACCAAGAGGGCCTCGGCAAAGAGGTGGACCCCCAGCTGAGCCTTGCCATTGATGGAGTGCTTAAATGTCTGGAGCTCGCTGTGGGCCTTCATCTCAAAGGCAGCGGCACCAGGCACAACGCTGGCATCCCGGATAGCATTCTGGATGGCATGGAGGCCATCGCGTATGGCATCCTTAATGGCTATAATCTGGTGACGAGCCTCGCCGCGAATAACGATCGTCACGGAAGTGGGATTGCGACAGTGCTCCACAAATGTGTACTTCGTTTCGCCCAGGATCTCCTCACGAACGGATCCGGCGAAGCCCAGGTGCTCTTCCTTCAAGTCTTCTAGTGAATTCAAGGCCTCTCCGCCGCAGGCCCTCACCAAGCGCTCCATGTTCCTGGGCTTGGCACGGCGTAAGCCCAGGATTCCCTCCCTGGCCAAGGCCTCCAGGGATGGCACATCGATGCCCTTCTGAGTGATGACCACAAATCCCTTCTGGTTTCCCTCGCATACCCGCTTCTTCAGCTCTATGATCTTGTCCAGGCGGAGATCTATGAAGCGATGCTCCTCGGTCACATAGTTATCCTGTTCTTGGGCAGTTTTGTAGCAAAAAGTGGAAGTCACAGAGGTTTTCTCCAGCTCCAGGGACACATTACAGGTGAGGATATAGGCATCCTTCAGTTTTTTCGGCATGTTTACATGACGTCCTCCGTGATCCAGGACTAGTCCCTCAACTAGCAGCGTCTCCAGGCTGCTGTGCTGTAGCATTTCCATCAGCTCGATCATGTTAAGATCCAGCTGATCCTTGCCATCGCCTCGAATGGCCAGGACAGCATCCACACAGATCTCGGTGAGCATATCGGCCAGGCCGGACTCCAGCTTAGTTCTCAAGCTGGTTCTGGCCACAGGAATTAAGGATTCACGCTCTACGGGCATAGAAATCTGAAGAGATTGGAGCACCTCCAAGGCCCGATCCTTGGCCAGCATAATACCTTCCACCAGGATGCGGGGATGCAAGCCCTCTTCGATCAGCAGGCCTGCTTGCTTCAAGAGTTCACCAATTAGTAGGACCGTGGAGGTGGTGCCATCTCCCAAGGAATCGTCTTGGGCCGTACTGGCCCGTGCGATCATGGCTGCCGTGGGGTGGCGGATGTACATCTCGTGGAGCAGCACATTGCCATCTTTGGTGATCTTGATGTCGCCTGCGGGCGAAACAAGCATCTTGGTGGTGCCCTTCGGTCCCAAATTGGAGGCCATGAGTTTCTGCAGAGCGGTGGCCGCGGTGATATTGATGCCGAGAGCCTCGGCGGCTCGGGCAATTTCAGCTTTTGGATTGAGGAGACTTACAGCTGCCATTTTCGGTTTTCTCGAAGATGATTTAGATTTAAATTTTCAGGAATATAAATCAGCAAGGCAAGGCAATGTCCAAATGACAGAATAATTGATGACGACTTGGGTGTGGCCAATTTTGAATTGATTCAGACTTGTTCAAAATACCAAAGTGCCGCATATGTAGTAGGTCCTGACGAATAGCCTTCAAACATTCCTCTTCACATGATAGAATTATACAAGGTAGTCCACTCGGCAAAATCATAGTCCCCTGATGTAAGTGCGAGTGAAATAGCATTCAATAGTTAGTGTGAGTGAAATGGCAACATAGTGCTTCGATTAACCCGTACACGGTGCATGGGGCTAAAAGTTTCCTTAGTTATGACAAGAGTTGTATTGTTTATAATTTTATATTTATAAGTTTTGAATTTGACATAATTCTTTGTTTTTGTTGTTTAACAGCCATTCTCTTGTTTAAGCTCTTAATTCCAAAGTATATGCGTATCTTAAAATAAATAATAAATAATAATACATATAATAAAATAATAAATATAAATTCGAGTTGATTTATTTTGTTTTTAAGTGTCGATGATGGTTTCATCAGACCTCCATGCGAAACCTCATCTACGTATGTAAATGTAATTTTTTTCTTGGCCACTTAAGGGTTAAAGCTCTGAAAAAAAAAAAACCGTCCACACACAACCTTTCAGTTCGACAAGCAGGCCATGCACTGACATTAATGGACCAAAACCCGAACGACTTCGGCAGTCGAGTGGACTACCTTGTATAATTCTATCATGCCTCTTCATTTATTTTCAGTCTCTGCCATTATGTCGGGGAAGTAAGTATTTCTTTATATTTTTTAAAATTGTCCTAAAATTTTAAAAACATATTCCGGTTTTGATATTTCCCAGCCAACACTCCATATCCAGACCTTATGAGTCTGGGCCAGTGTGCAGCTGGATCCACTGGTTCACCGGTCTCCAGGGGCACGACTTCCTCTGTCGCGTGCCCAACGACTACATATTGGACAGATTCAACCTGACGGGCCTGGAGACGGCGGTGCCGAACTTCAACGTTGCTCTGCAAACAATTCTTGATCCGGAATTTGAGCCCGAAGTCTGGGACAAGGCAGTGGACACTGTCCATGCTGAGACTCTGTATGGCCTGATCCATGCCCGGTATATCCTTACCTCGCACGGCTTGGAAGCCATGTGCAAGAAGTACGAGAGGGGCGAGTTCGGCATCTGCCCGAGGTTTTACTGTAAGGGTCAGAACACCTTGCCGATTGGCCTGTCCGACTTGTGCGGTCACTCTCACGTGAAGCTGTACTGTCCGCGCTGTCTTGACGTTTACCAGCCAAGATCACGCTGCTGTCTACTGGATGGAGCCATGTTCGGGACCGGGTTCCCGCACATGTTCTTCATGCAGCTGCCGGAGTTACGGCCTCATCCGCCAGATGAGAAGTATGTGGGACGGTGGGTAAAAATTTTATTTTAGAAATAAGTTCTTAAACCCTAAATCATGACAGTCTATTTGGCTTTCAGCTCCACCATTCGGCATTAACTCCACTCGAATCGCCGGATCGCGTTGATTTGACCAAGTCCAACAGTGTGACTTTGTCGCAATCGCGTCGACAATTAAACCGTTTTCACTTTCTACAAAAACACTAAAATAGTTACGGGAAAGCACCCAAACATATATATATTCTCTCTTGTTGCAATTAAACGGATCTTGATGCAGTGAGTTGATATGGCCAGGGACACAAGGCACACGGACACAACACAAAACACACACTTTTAAGAATACACTCATGCCTAGTGTACAGCCTGACCATATCAATCACTTGTATTAGAGCTAACTTCAGAGTTCAATTAATTAAATGGGGGTAAAACCAGAGGGAGCTCTCTTAATCGGCCTATTTAAGCAAGTATGCACTGAAAAAGGTTTTTTACTCTTCAAATAACACAATAAATATTAATTCCTTAAAAGTTTTCTTTTTCCTCCTCCCTTAAAATCAAGGCAATACAAATGATCTTAATGGCTTTTCCCAAAGCCTTTTTATTGATAAATATACTTTAAACTTTTCAATCGCCTTGTAATTTGAGTGGGGATATAACTTATTTCCGTGTATCCTTGGTGCGCTGGATTGCACAATCAAAATCCACTTGCCAGCATAACCTGCTAAGCCGATAATGGGAATTACGCCCAGTTGCTGAGGCATCCTCAAGGAGTCGAGTCGAGTCGAGCTGAGTCCTGGGCCTGAATTAACGGCTGCTCCTGCTCTCCGCTGGCATCTCCAATGAGTCATGCCTTTATTATTATTTACTGCCGCCCTGCCGCTTTCAGTTTTCCACGCCACTCGACGCCGTTTCCTCTGTCCTTGAGTGGAGTATTGTGCCGGCACAAGCGTCTTCTCTCTGGGTTTTTCTCTTTCTCTGGTGCACACACATACACTTTTCACACTTAATTTCATTAAGTAATCTTTCATACTGCAGCTTTTTATTGAGTTTTAAACTGGCAGACCGTATAATGAGCATGGTGGCGGGAGATACAGAGACGAAGAGAGCTGAAGCCGGAAAAGCCGAAGAAAATGTAAAGGATTCAAGAGGAAGCGAACGTTTTGTTTTACATTACAATTGAGCTCGGCAATGTGTTGTCTTATTGTCTGCGCTGCCTCGGGATGGCTTTTCTTTGGTTGCTCCTTTTGTGGTTCCAAGAGGGACTCATTCACTAGGACACGGCTACTTGTTGATTCTGGAAAACTGCTTCAGAAATGACCCTCTGATTTTAACCATTTTCTATTAAAAGAATAACAACACAATATCATGAAAATGTTCAAAATGTAGTCTTTAAATATCAAATAAATTCTCTTAAATTCACCTTTATCTTTAATAATAAAGTGTATCCATTTCTCCTCCTAAACTTTAGTCCTTTATTTACTTAATTCACCAAGTTTTAATACCACGCCCTGTGGCTACGTACAATATATGTAATATTTACAGCATTTCCGGCACTCCATGTGTCTTGTTGCATCTGCCCCTGGTTCAATAAACAAATCCCTATGTTGCCCTAGTAAACAATGGACTCGCACTCGATTGGAAACGTTGCTCGAAGCTGGCATTCTCCATCCTTTTATCCTTTTGTTGTCCCTGCGCCGGACCAAATGTGTTTTCAAGAATTGCCGAATATTTGATTGTATCGCTGCGGGCTCGGCAATTTCTCTCTGCCATCGCAGTGCCAGGATGCATTTTTCGAAAAGTTGTTTTTCCAAATGCCGCAAAAGCTTACTACGAAAATATTATTGTGCGCCGGCTTTTACAAATATTGCTGGGACTCGACTCCCTTCTTGCTGGCGAAACAATACGGAAAATTCGTGGAAAGTCGGCAGAGTTTCAATTTTATTAATGACTGTCGATTGCAATGTAGTTTCTAATCCCTTGGGGATTTTGGAATGGTTTATATCAGTTTAGTTGGTCTGTTTTTATACCCATTCTTTATGGTTTAATTTATAACTAATATTATTTTAGATATTCCGGGAAGGAAATATTTTTAATTTTTTTTTTTGTGTATTTTATACATTTAATACCTATGTTAAACCAATATAAATATATTTGGAAAAATATATAATGCCAGACTTAAATTTTCTTCTACCAATTGAGCTTGTATATTTTTTTTTAAAGTAATCCTCTTTTGCATTTCTCATTTATATTTTCCCTTTTTACTCTCGCTTTGATTCCCACTTAAATTAAAATCCTTTCTTTCTCCATTTACCCTTAAAAAAATTTGGATTATTTTCTGTATCTCGAAGCAGTTTTTAGATTCTCTTTCTCTCTGATGAACCTAGGCTAAGCGATTCAGCAATTTATGGTTAATGGCACAGGATAGGAAAAAAGTGCGGTTCCGTTAATTTGGAGCTGAGCGGTCGACTAAACCCTAAAGACTACAAAGTCCTGATTAACCCATAGAGACAGGGATACTCGGCCGCCTGCACCGTCGTAATTATCCTGATGAGATTGGCCGAGCCATGACCGGCCAAGCAAACTCCGTTGAAGGTGGCCCCGGGTTCGTCAGCCTGGCTAGCAGCCTCCAAATTAAGTTACGGGGGCAGAACGCCGGACATGTCTGTCCCGTAATAAGCTAAATGAAAACAAAAATGGACGTCACTCAGCGTCACAAATTGATGAAGATGGAAGCGGAAGGAAGCGCCCAAGGAGGCTACGTTGGCGCTGACCGAGATGGCGAGAGCGTAACCTAATAACTTTGGCCACGCATTAATTGGAATTTATGAAGCGGCCACTCTCTCTGGCGGATTCCGTGCTAAACAAAGCGCATAATGCGTGCCGAGTGTCACTGGAAGGGTTACGAGTCCTCCGGGTTGCCGGCTCCTTCGGCTTCACCAACTCCCCCGTCAAATGGCAAGTGGCGACTGGCAAATGGCAAAAGAAAGAGGAGTAGAAAAGTGGACTTGTGCGCCAAGTTTAAGTGCTTTTAAAAAACCATTAACGTCATTTCCTGTGCCGTCGTCTGGTGACTTTCCCTCAACTCTCCTTTTTTTACATTTATTTTTTCTATCTGCACTCGCGAATGGTCAACATCAATACAATACAAGCCATTGAAACGTAAATTTTGTCAGAGTCTCTTGTCAGGACGTTACTTTGATATCTTTTTTGTGGGCAGTGCCGGCAGGGATCCGGCGCCCCAGGTTCCCGCGGGATTGGGAATGGGAGCGGGCCTATCGTTGCCCATGAGCTGAGCAACTGGCTTCGAGGTGATGGCGCCGCGTCCCCCTTTCACTGTACCGACGGTCTGGCGCCTACGCGGTGGCTGGGATTTGGGTAATGGAACGGGGACTTTAGGCGATCCAGGTGAAGCTGCAGGTGAGTCAGATGTCTTGATCTGGGGTTGTTCTGTCGGAGCAGCCGGCGTCGGGTAGTTTGTTAAGCTAGTCTGTGACTCTGTGACGGCGGGCATCAGCTTAGGTTTAACGCCCAACTTTTCAACCGTGTTCCGAAATTTATCCATCGCCGTGTTGTCCCGCTTGGGAATGTCTGGCATCGGGGGCAGCTTAATAGATGTCTGGCTGATCTTGCGGGTGTTGTCCAATGGATCGTTGTGGATGACCTGCATGGGCCCGGGACAGGCGCCCACAGTCGGTGGATCCTCGTAACAAACGTATCGGTCGTAGTCGAAGTTGTCCTGGCTGTCGGTGGCCGGGACGCCACGACGGTGGAAGCAGTTGATGGGACAGGAGGGCACGCAAGGCTGGTAGGGCCTCTCCACTTCGGCCAGTTTATCGATTTTTACGGAGTTGCAATAGATCTGGTGGCGATCAGCAACCAACTCCTCGCGGCACTTCTCACGATGCTCGTACTTGCGGTAGGCCAGTTCCGCTTTGGAGTAGTATCCCGGCCAGCAGGAGTCCCTTAGCTGGCTACGCTTCACCAGCCTGCCCTCCGGCTGCATGTCCAGCTGATTCTGCTTCTGGTAGCGCTTCACGGCAGTGGCTATGGGATATAGGGGTCGGCCCACCTTGCGTGACTTCTCCATAATATCCACGGCCTCCTCGAAGAACTTCTTGTCGTCCGCCAGGTACAAGTCTTCGTTACAGGCGGTCATGTTCATAAGTTCGGCACGTCGCTTCTCGAGGAACTCGTCCCGCTGGCCGAAGAGTACTTTGCGCAGATCCTCCTTAACTTTATCTTGCCGGCGCTTTTGCGACGCATCAAAGTAACGGTTTGCCTCGTCATTTTTGAGGCGCCGCGCCACCTGGAAGCGTTGCACCTCCTGCTCCTGCCGGTATTTCTTCTCCCCCTGCTTCTTCTCCTCCAGCTGGTAGGCTCGTCGCTGCTTGGCAAGCTCCTGGCGCTCGCACTGGCGCCGGTTCTCGTCCACCTGCACCTCGAACTCATAGCGATCCTCCGTGGCGGCCTGCTTCTCCGCCAGCACCCGCTTGGAAACATCCTGGGCTTGGAAAACGCGCAACCCCTGCGCCGCCCGAGCCTCATGCTCTTTCTTCCGCATTTCGTTTACGTGGGTGTTGTAGCGGGTGCTCAGGTTGCGAGTGGCAACAGTGTAGACGCAGTTGCGTCGGTCGTCGATTTTATCGCAAATCTTTTCATCTGGGATAAGGTGTGAAGTTATTATTGTAACCCACTGTGGGAGATTACTCACGAGTTGCGATCTCGGCTTTTTCCTGGATGGCATCCCGATAGGCTTTGCGGTAGAAGGCAATCTTCTTGGCTTTCTTTTCTTTCAGGGCCTTTTCCTCCTTTTCCTGCAGGCACTTGTACTGGGCGCGGTCCACCTGCTCCTCGAAGACTTTCTGCTCTCTGGCCGCCTCCCTGAGCTTCTCCCGCTCTGCAATATCCTCGCGGATGAGCTTGGCATAAGTTTGGTTCTTTTCCGCTTCCTTGGCCTTTTCCTCCTCCTCCGTGACATGGCCGAAGGGCACCAGGGCCTCTGGGCATAGCTTCTCGTCCGCCTTCTCCTGGGCCCGAGCCGCCGCGGCGATCTCCTCGTTGAGATCCTCGTTGTACTTCCGCTGATGAATCATTTCGCTGACCAGCAGCGCCTGGTGCAGGGCTCGCGGTCCGGGCTTCAGCTGATTCAGCAAATTATTTGCCCGCATGATACGTTGCTTGCGCAGTCGCTCGTCGGCCAGTTTGGTGGGCACCTCCTTGATGGGACTCACAATTTCCGTGCTTGTGAACCGGCGTAGGACCTGGTCCTTGGGCACCGTGGGATCCGTGAACAAACTGCACAGTAGATCGTTGCCATCCTTAAGGTACTGGCGGTATCGCCGCTCCTCCTCAACGGCTTCTATCTGGGCATGCTTCTCGTCCTGCCGAGATCGTCCCTTGATCGCCGCGAAGCGCTTGGCCGAGATCACGACGGGATGTCGTGCGAAGCGCTTCCTAATGATCAGTCCATCGGGACCAACTAGTTTGGGTTTGCACGGAATCATTTTAGACATGTCAGCATATAGCCAAGGTCCTTGGGAAAACAGCTAGGTAAAATCACCGAGAATATAGACAGAAATTCGATTTCGTGTGGGTGTATAAATTCATTTGAGCAAGTCGATAGATCGTCTCGGAATCAAAAGAAACTTTTCTCAAAGCCAGAGAAGCTCTGCTCCGCTGTTTAGTTTTTTTTAGGTTTCATATTGAAGATATTCTGTGTCGGTAAGTTATTATCACTGATTTATAATGGCTTAATTCTTATGTATATAAAAGTTTTTGTTTACTTTTTATATGGAATTTATTCAGCTGTGTCAATGAGTTATTATTACTGATTTATAATGATTTCATTCTTATTTAAAAGCAATCAAAAAATCGGTATACTACTAATAACAAAATAATCGCTAGCACTTTTGTTTAAAGTTGTTTAGTCACTCGATCATTGTCCACTGCCATGGATCATAAAGTTGTCATCGTTTTATTATATCTAACAGCTGCTCTTCTGCTTTGTAGTGTAAAAGATTCTATATTATATTGAATCGTAATAAGGGAATAAAATTTAATTATAATTTTCACCAGGAGGCACCCAGGGTTAAAATGACAAATGCCGTCTGCCAGTCCTACAATAAATCCTGGGTCGTTGTCCACTATTGTCGGCTGAAGGCCTATTCCCGCATCAAGACCAGTTTGAATGTAAATGCCACGTTTCTGGAGCCAGCCAATAATATATTTCTCCATATGAAGTTGATGAAGAAGGCCAGTGGCTATAAGCCATTCCTGTTCGATTACAACTTCGATGCCTGCCAGTTTATGCGAAAGCGAAATCAGCCCGTTGCCAAGATCGTCTGGAATCTGATTAAGGATGTGTCCACGGTGAATCATACTTGTCCCTATGTGGTAAGTTTGCTATTTAATTCTGTTAATTGTTTCTTATGAGCTTGAATTGATTTTCAGGGCCTGCAAATGGTCCACGATTTCCATTACATTCAAGTTCCCATCAGTTTGCCCACCGGCGACTACCTGCTGTTATTGGACTGGATATTCGATGGCAAGCCACAGTTTGCCACCAATGTTTATTTTAATTTTGTGGAGGATTTTTAAAAAGGTGCATACATAGATATAATACAAATAAGTACATAAAAACATAGGTTCACATCCACAGAAAAGCTGATTAGCAAAGTTCTGAATATTGGTAGCACGATCTGCTTGTAAAAGTCCTTTAATAACTATATAGCAATATATATAAATATATATAAATCATAAATTATTACCCAATTACCCCAAAAATATTTAAGCCAAAATATGCTGCCACCGAAACTGAAAGTCTTAACAGGCTTTAAAATAGTCGTATTACCTCAACCTCTCCTCCCTCTTTGAGTTTTCAAATAATCATTTTGGCATTTCAAAAGTTTGAAACAATCATAAAAAAAGAACAAATTATTTTTCACAAGAGTTTCGAATAATTTCCGCAATTAATTTCCGCCACAAATTGTTCCTCGTGATACGTTTGCTCTGGCCATCCGCAATTAGATGAACCCCAATTAGTGTTAATCAAATTAGGCAAAAACCTTACTTTTGGCGGCAATGCCAGGATTCAAGGAGCAGGATGGTGCACAATCCAATTCCCGGCAGGCGTCAAATTATACAGAAAACTCAGATGGCGAACACAAATGGGAATCAGAAAAGAAAAAAAAATGCGAGGCAGGGGCGGCCGAAAAAGTTGACTTTCATGCGAAAAGTTCTTTTTCGGGACTTTTGCTTGGCCAGGAGGAAGGCACGCGCGCTTTCATGAGGGCACTGGGGGCGTGGTCAGACGGCAAACACCGGCGATTATTGTTACAAAATGCAGCGAAGCATGTAATTTTTTAGGGCCACCAAGGCAAAACCGAAAGAATTCACATTCAGATTCGGTTTGAGATTCAAATTGCCAAAGAAGCCAATGCCCCTTGGGAGAGGAGCGAACGGAGGAGGAGCGGCAAGGACGACGGCTTCTGAAAATTGTTTTGCGAAAATTAGTTTTCAAACTTTTCTTGTTCGTTTATCTTGCATTTTTCTTCGGTCTCGTTGTCGTCCCTTCCATATCCCCGTCCCTGTGCGTGTCGAAATGAAAATCTAAGCGCAGTATGCGATATTAATTTGCATTTTGGGCCTCGCTGTCATATCGAGGCAGTGGGATTTGTGGGAAAGCGCGTCCCTGGCACAATAAAAATCAAATTTGAATAATTTTTAATTTATTTAGCAACGCTTCGGACGAATTTCGTTGATGTTTTTGTGTGTAATTGGGAATTCTTCTTCGGCTGTTGTTGTTTCTTTTCTGTTTTTAGGGATTCATTTGTGGGCTTCCTTTTTTAAATGGTTTCAAAGTAATTGCTATGAAATTGCCTTTTGAGTAAGCAAAGCCGGAAGTATAAAAAATAACACGCACTTTATGCAAATCGTTTTAGTGATATTTATTTAATTTTATTTAAATACAGTTTTTGTTTGTTTGCGTATTCAATATATGCCTAGGGTTTGTTTAACTAAAATAAATATACTTAAAGTGTAAATTGATTTCGCTTTAACTATCGTTTTACTTAGCTACAAATTATAAATGTTTTAACAATTAATTTCCACATCCAACCGACTTAAATTCTTGACAATCACAAAGTTAGGATTTGATTTTGATTTTGTAGAACAGTGAGTAATTCTTTGTTTTGGTTATGGAACTAGGACTATGATTAACCACAACGCTTTAAGATCCGCCAATATTAGAGACTACGTAGATCCTTAGGTTCTAGGGAGTAGAGAGGGAGAGGATTTCGAATTTCTAGCAGGATCTGAGAGGAAAGTCTGATATCTCTTTCATTATTATGTCTTTTTTATGTTGGGCTTCTGTTTTGGCACAGAACGGGGCCAAACAGGTTGGCCAAAACCATTTATTTAGCTTCTATTCTATTCACCGATTAAGCTGAAACATACACACATACAACACTCAACAATTACGATTAAATTACCTTGTGTTTTATTATTATTATTATGGGGAAACTTAGGGTATCACAAACACTTAATGAACACTTACTATGGTTAACGCTTTGCTTAACGTGGCTGATTCCGATTGGATGGGCGTAGTCGTAGAAGTAATAACCCCTAGATAGGGGACTTACAAAAGGCAGAGACTTAAAGTAGGCAAAATGACAGTCTACCTTTGGAGTTGAAGAAATCCGCAGAAGGCAGGTAGATAGTTTAAAGGAAAGATTACCATTCACCTGCCACTCACTTTCTTAAACTTTATTCAATTTTAGATCTTTTTTGGCTCATTCATTCTTATTTTTCTTTTAAATAAATAATAGATTTTCTTTAAAAATTAAACTTTTAAAGATATGGCCTTTGGTTTCGAAAATAAAATGTAAAGATTTCATTTCAATCAATTTTAGTTCCCAGGGAAATATAATAAATATAATTTTCCGAACAAACTAAAGTTTATTAGAGTTTATTTTCATAATCCAAAACTTAAAACCAAAACCAACCCCCTCTATGATCGCTTAGATTCTAATCCTAACCCTAAATGACAACACACAAATAGCTTTATGGTTGTCTCGGCGATATTATATAGACACACACTCACGTACGTACACCTATGAAATCTTATAGATATTTGCTCATTTCTCACTCTCTACTTTTCCACTGGCTTAGACCACTCCTGCGGAATCGGTTCCAATCTCGGCTACCTACTTCCGGTACTCGGCCAGCGGAATACCCACAGCGGAGGCCTTCTCCGGCGGCGGACTATGGCAGGCGGCACGGATCCGGCTGAACCGCAGACTGCCCGTGTGCTGGTGGGCTCGCATCCTGGCCAGCTGATGCTGTGTATGGTGCGTGCACTTGCCCTGGCGGGCCAGCAGCTGCGTCTTGGCCAAGATCACGTCCTCTGCGTACTAAATATCCGGAATGCTGCGCCCGCAGGTCAGCTTGGCGGACGAATCGTCACTTAAGCCATTCATGATTCCGCCTCCTCCGCCGGCTGCCTTGTTCTTGGCACAGTTGATGTCATGGAAGAGATGCTCACATAGCTTTGGCTCCGAGTTGGAGAACTTGCCCAGCTCGGCGGCCGTGGCCGCCTGGGAGAGGTTCAGCTGCAGGTCGCTGGCCTTGCTGAAAGAGGTGGTTTGCTGCTGGTGATGCTGCTGCGGCTGGTGGAGCTGGTGCACCAGGTGGTGGGTGTAGGGCAGGTGGGGCAGATTCTTCTGCATGGCGCTAAGGTTGCCCGAGCTCATGGTTCGCTCCAGGATCTCTCCCCAGTACTTCTCCGAGAGACCCTCGATGTCCGGCCGCGTCGTGGAGTATGTCTCTGACCCATTGTGGATATGGCTTCCGCCGCCGCCGCCCATCGTACCCCTTATGTACTGGGAGGCACTGCGGCTCAAACTATTGGCCCGGGAGCGGGCACAAATCCCCAGCACAGAGCCACCAATTGTGCTGGCCACTCCGCCGCCACTGGAAGCATTGGGCCCACTGCCAGCGGCTGAACTGCCTCCGCCTGGCGGGCGGGACGATGGCGGTTCCGGTGGAATCGGAAGCGTTGTGATTTCGAAATCGTTAGCATTGATGTGACAACAGGCTGATTTGTGTTCGGGCGTGTCCTCGTGGGGGAAACACTGGAATTAAACACAAAGGTCATCACTTAAAAAAATGAAGTACCTAAAAATGTTTAAAAATGTGCGTTTGAGGAAGCAAAGCTAAGCTAATAATTTAAACATTAAAAAATCTATGATCTATCTTATGTCTCTAAAATGTTTAAAATTAATATTTATTTCTTGATTCTTGTATTTCACTAATAAATTTCATAGGTTGCTTTATAATATAAATACTTCCAACAAATTCGAGTAAAATTCTAATGAAACCCCAACATAAATATTCGTTATTCCATATTTTTTTCTGGGTGCAGGGCATCATAAATTTGACTCGACTCGCACAAAAATTAATAAGGATTTTGAATTCGCATTTATTCCGGCCAAGCACAAGGTTGTGCCATAAATATTCCACAAACTGACCCCCGGCGGTCCCCCTTCTCCGGAAGTAAATCATGCAACTTGACTGCGTTTACCCAAAATAGAATCGGGGCTGGTGGATGCTGGGAGCTGGGGAGCTGTATGGGAGGTGAATGGTGGATGTAAATGCCGTTTTGGATTTGCTCTTTCATAATTCAAAATCACTTTTCAGGACTCGTTACAGTTGTTGTTGTTGTTGTTGTTGCTGCTGCTGTTGGGGGCTGTTGATTGTTTACTTTGTTGGGGCCAGAGCCAGTCTGGCAGCAGCTTCCTGGAGCTTACACCTTTGGCTACGGATTTATGCTATGGGGTTGTGTGTCAGCTTGTGTATGACTTGGGCTTGCCTGCTTTTTGTTCACCAAAAACTTTTGCCTTAAAGGCGTGGAAAACCCCTGAAAATATGCAAGCTGCAGGATGTGCACTTGGGTGAAATGCTCGCATATTCCGGATATTTTGGACCGGTCAATGAATGTTTGGATGGGATGCTTGCAAAAGGGCTAAGCGAATCAATCAATCAGGACTTATGACAGATTTACAGGGCTTCCCTGCTGATCATCCTGCTGCTGCTGTATGGGACAGACTTCTCTCACCTTGTTGGGCATCAGTTGGCGACTCAGACGACGGAAATCGGAGTTGAGCAGCCAGTACATGAAGGGGTTCCACAGGCTATTACTCAGCGCCGTCCAGGTGACAAGGAAATCGAGGAACGGCGGCAGCTGCAAGCGGATTGAGAATGTCACAAAATCAGAACTGATGAGAACGACGTGGCCTCATTACGTATGCGCCCCGTGGTACGCAATAGAAACACAAAAGCGTGGTAAACAATATCCCAAAGGACTCTTACCTTGGATCCCGTGCAGGCAGTGACTATCTCCTGAATAGTCCACGGTGTGACCATCACAATGAAGCCCAGCGAAATGGCAGCCATCGAACGTGAGGTTGATCCACTAGAGTTCTTCTCTTGGATGGGTACAATCTGTGGAAACACATAGTGGTAGAGTCATTAAAAGTCAAAGGACTGTTTGGGGTTATATATATAGGGTAGTAAACTTGGCACTACTCTGAAACTTTATGATTTTAGTCTGATTTTTATTGATAGCCGCTTTTAAAATGTTAGGAATTTAAATTCTTACAAGTGGAGGCTTTATAAGAGAATGAATTTGAGATTAAAAATTGTTATATGAAAAAAAAACAAAGTATTGAAATATGTTCCCAAAACAAAAACAGACAAATCCGGCTAGGCTTGTAATAATATTTTCCCCTGAAATATGAATAAAATATAAACTCCCCACTGCCAAATTCGCATAAACATATAAAACAACCTACAATTTCCCTAAAACCCTTAATAAATTCCAGCGAAAATCAACGCCCAAACAACCTTATTTACTTTTAGAACGAGTTTTCCCATTCCCAAATTCAATTCGCCGTCGGTGAAATATGGTTTTTAAAGACCCCTTAACAGCTTTAACAATTTGTTTGTCCGTGCAGCCAAAGCTAATTCTATTTACTCTTAACTAAATCCCCAGTTGACCGGCTGCCCGACTCCCCGGCTCGCTGGGTGGCTGAAACTGTTTTGAAACTGGCGCTTGGCTCACCTTTTTGGTAATCTTGTTTGTCATGTTCGGCATGCCAGCCAGCCCCATGCTCATGGCCATGCCCAGGTGGCCCAGGTGATGCGGATGCGGATGGTGTGGGTGCTGATGCTGAAGCGGATGCGGATGGTGAGAGTGAGAGTGGCCGTGGTAGAGGTGAGAGTGCATTCCCGCCTGCTGCTGCTGTTGCTGCTGGTGCATCTGCTGGAGCTGCTGGGCGGCGGTGGGATGTGGATGCGGATGCGGATGATGGGCGGCTGCCGTTAGGGGCATGGTTGGATCGTTCAGGCGGAAGCGGCTCATGTGGAAGCTGGACCCATAGCAATACATCAGGACCATTGTAGTGGGAAAGTAGAGGGCGCACGTCGACAATATCCTATAGGAGGGCTTGCTGTAGAAGGGCTCGCAGGCCATTAGCCCCGTATTGTTGAAGTAATAACCTGCGGCATAGAGGTGTTCGAGAGCATACTTAATATATAAGAGCTAAGCCAAGGCAAAGACTCACCTTTGGGCAGCACCAGAAAGCCAAACACCGTGAGACTGATAATCCAGGTCAAGCTCAATATGGCCACACAGCCCTGCAAAGGGTATAAACAATTAGTGGAATTACATTTCCTCACAGCTGTTGGTTGATTTATGGCCCCTTGGGCACGTTTCTGGTGCATTTTAGGTAATAAAATCGTTCCTTTTTGCTAAAATTCCCTTAAAATAAGGTTAACAGTGCTTAAAGTTAGCTTGAGTTACATCTAATTGAATTCTTTTGTTTGTATTTTCCTCTGACAGACCGCAAATAGAATAAACAAACTTTTGATTAGGTCGAAAACAACTAGAAAAGAGTGCCTTTGCCCAGCGACCGCAAAGGGAAAGCGATACTTTTTGGAAATGCGAAAGGACTGCCACAATCATAACTGACGTCCTGAGTTCATAAATGCGGCACTCTGACAGAGAAAATGGGAGAATATTGTCCTGTCCCTCAACGGCTGCCACCTGGAAAAAAATCGAAAGAGAAAGCCCCTTCGCATTCAGGTTGAAAGTGCCAGCAAAAACTGAACAACAACTTTGGCTGCCTCTATGGCTCTGATTTTATTTAATTTGCACTATTACATTTAAAAGTTTTGCCTTTCGGAAGAGAATATCAACAGTCGGAGAGTCTAAAAAGGTAATAAAATTATATTTAAATGTAAATATACCATTTTGTTTCAATGCAAAAGTTTTCTTTTAGAGTAAATTTGGTGAAAAAGTAATTAATTTGAAGAGTATTTACAGAGATATTTATTTCAAGTTTAATAAATTTTAATGCATTTTTAAGACATAAAATCATTGTTAGGGTTTCTATATTTTTATAGCCTCTCAAATTTGACTTTTCCTTGTAAATAAAAAAGCATAAATATCCATGGCTTTTTTTTATTTTAACGAGAGCTTCAATTTATGGCACTTTTAAAAGTACGCAAAGAAATGTAAGCCAGAAGTTTGTGATGCCATTACCGAGCTTCCATCGAGCATTGGTTTCTTTTTTTTCTGGCATCCCAAGTATACCCCATTCAGCATCCATTTATTAATTTTCGACACTGCGCATACCAATTTTTATAAATGGGGCGTGGCAGAGTGCCAATTTCGCCCACTGGCACGATTTTCAGAGGCCAGATTGCACAGAAAAACCAACATAAAAGATGCGATTTGGTTCTGGCAGCATAAAAACAGCAACGCAATTTTATATAAATACATTTTTCCACCATTGATATGCCTCTGGTTTCCCATTGTTGTATTTAGCCTGATTGTATTTTCTTTCATTCGATTGAATTACAACTTTTCTGGAAAACCACAAGAATAATTAAGGGTTAATTCGAAAGGGGAAACTCAATGAATAAAGTTTTAAAGGGTTACCAATTGCACTTTTTGAGTTTTAAAACCATAAACCAAGGTTTGTTTGAAAAAAGCTTTGAAGTAGTTTACTTTTAATGGGAAATAGCAATAAAAATTTCAATATTCCATAATATTTTAATTATTTTCTCATTAATATTAAATGTTTTATATTAAGATCAATAAATTCTTTAACAAATCCAAATGAAAAAGAAACCCATACTTAATATATTTATTTTCATTCTCATTAATTTCCTCGTTCTAGTCTTTTGGCATCACTTAGTGCAAGGACATTGGAGCTTCGGTGTCCTGGCCCTGGCGTTCTCCCAATCTAGTTTCCTTTTTGTTTACTCTCCGGGAGCCATAAATTACGCTGTAAGTGTGTAACTGGGAATGGGAAATAGAGTTGGTGCCTCGTTTGCTGCTCTTTGGCCCCGGCTTTCCTGCGGTTTCCGTGGGAGGTGCCGCTTCATTTGCCTGCCCTCGTCCTGGAACAGGACTTTGCTGTGGTCGTCGCCCTTTTGCCAAAGTCATTGCGCGTAAAAAAAAATAGGAGAAGAAGAATCTCTAGGCCAACTTTCTGCTCGCTTTTTTTTATCTTTATTTTATACACTTTCCCAATGTCTCCCATTTTTTCTGTGTCGTATTTTTCTGCCAACTTTGCTTTTTCATTCTTCATCTGTTGGTGCTTTGTTTTGCAGTCGCTCTTCGGCTACCCCTCTCCGGTCTCTCCGGTCTCCCCGGGGCTTCCCCGCCCATTTGTTTGCTTTCTTAATGACTGTCAAAGAGCTTAAAGCCCATTATCCTTATTTATGCCTGCGTAATTGGCTCGCAGACAATATGCTGTAGTCGCTGTGCCATTGTATTATAGTTGATTTTTATTGGCGCGTGATTCTCTTGATTTCTCGTAATTACGCCAACGCTTTGTCTACTGTCCAAGAGTTGCCCCGACAAGGATCTAAGAGGATCGCCAAGGAGCGTGCCTTATCTGGCTGCCCCCAAAAATGTATCTTACCTTCTTGCTGGAGTGCTGGTAGTAACGACGCGGATGCAGGGCGCACATGTATCTATCGACGGCCATGCAGACCAGGATGACGGCGCTCTGCTGGGAAAGCGCGCCGCGGAGCAGGGCCTAAAAAATGCATAGAATGGAAAATGGGGAAAGCGTGTTAGCCGACCAGCTTAGCTCAGAATTTTACTACTATTTATATTATGGGTTTTTTGTGCACAGAAGCGGCCTTCACTCGGGTTTTATTTCGTTTTTGTCTCGTTTTTATTTTTCTGCTCTGCCTGCAGCCGGGTCAAAATGAAAAACTTTTAATGGGAATTTTCGCAGCGCCAGAATGGCCGCCCGGCTAATATGAGATTATTAATTGCCAGAATTTGTGGTGTAAGAGTTAGTTATGCGGAGAATGCGTGTATGTTTTGCCAATAATCTTAGATGGAAAATAACCAAATAACTAAACAATGTCGGTTACAAAGAGAATAAAAGATAAAGTTTTCCATGAAATTTTAATATTAAAATAATTTATAAAAGAAAGGGGTTTTGGAAATATATAACATACATTTTTTCAATATATTTTGTGCTTTTGTATTGTTTACTTGGAAATATATTAGCAAACTAATTTACCTACTAAGACAATGTAGTGCCATAACCCCTTTAGCAATTTAAATTCACACTAAATTAGTTTAATTACAGAAATATCATGAATGGGATTACTATTTAACCCATGTATACCATATAAAATTTTCCATTTTCACCACTTAATCCCACTTAAACTCAAACTGTTAACATTAGCATTACACATTGTTCCAGATAATCGCATATTCCAGTGACCATCTCCTGCACTTGTAACCCTTAATTACCCGGCATTGTGAAGCGAGTTAATTGACCGCAATGGCTGTAGCCACAACAGGATCCCCAGTATTAAACAACAAATTATCATGTTTCCGAGCTGTTTCCACCTGTTGTTGACCCACTCACCTGTATCTGGCAGAAGATCTCTCCGTATGGCCAACAGTGGAACAATGCCGGCATTAGGCCAAAAGGTGTAATTAACAGACCGATTGTCAGGTCATTCAAAGCCAGTGAGGTGAGCAGGTAGCGGGGCTATATAAAACAAAAGGGTGATTCAGGTGTCAGCAACTCATTCAGTAAGCCAGTGGATTTCTTATTCACCTGTTGGTGAATGTAGGCGGCATAGCGCCGATTGTTAATGACGAAAATGACCAGGCAGTTGGCCCCAATGACGCCCAGGGTGAGAACCAGAATGAGCACTGCCTCAATGGTCTCTGCGATGCCAATGTGAGCGATGAAGTTGTGGCCCGAGTAGCGAGGATGCGAGCAGCTCGAGTTCTTAACGGCAGGGGCTACCAGGAGTGAGCCAGTCTTCAGATCCATGGCTGAGCTGTAATTACAAAAAAGTGGTTAAGAGATATGATAAGTGCCGCAATCCTTTGTGAAGCATTCAAGCGCATAAAAGCACTGAGAAATATTAGTTTAAAAGAGCTTTATTTAGCGTTTAAATATAAAACATATAATGAAGTTCTTATACTGGAAATGGTAGGAAATTCAAAACAATTTATACTCTTACTTAATATTAATATATTTTTTTCGAACTGAAAAATTTATCACAGATAAACCCAAACCTTATACCCAATCTACATTTTTGATCACTTATAACTAATGTAAAATATTATTTCATAGAGGCAAGTCATTTATAATTTTTATTGTATGCTATTTTCCCCCAGTGTCTGCATGCGATTAAAGGCGGCCCTGGGTGAGCTCTATATTGTCTATTTGCCTTTTTGGGCCATTTTGTCGTCAGGCCACAAAATCCCGGCTAGCAGTTTCTTTCACAGATGCCTTCCGCTTCCGTTTCCGCAGCGAGGAATGCAAAATGTCGACGATTTGTTACGCCATAATCAAGTCAAAGCATGTGAAAGCGATGCCGCGCTGACGATTTATCAGCAGAACCGGAGTCCCTGTTCTGTCCTGGCAGGGGGCAAGACTGAGAGAGAGAGAGTGGCTAACAGGATGAAACCGCAGTGTTGTCACTCGGGGCTCCGGAGGGCACTCTGCATAGACAATGGCGGCGCAATGGCGCAACAAGGGCCCAATATGGCGGCACATCCGCTCCCAAAATAGCACACTGACATAATGAAAGCTAACGGTATAATTGGATGAGTCGGGCTTGTTTGCGATAAATCAAAATACGCGCACTCCCCGTCCGACGTTGATATCTTTCTCTCTATATGGCACCTCTGGGCCGACACTGAAAAATGTCCTGTGCAACGGAAGTGGCTTTAAAGGACTCCCCCTATCCTCCGCTGTCGCTTGCCGTCTGTCTATTTGTATCATTTGTTTGTTGTCGCATCTCTTATTAAGTTTTCCATGCCAGTATATGTTCCCCCCCCCCGCCCCATGCAGTATATGGAAGGACCCCGAGCTCCCGGATCTGCCGCCTTGATTTATCGTGGCTCGTCCAAAGTCGCCAGAGAGTCGGTGCCGAGTTGGGCCGCTTGGTTTTATGCTAAGTCCACAAATCACCGCATGATATATAACCGAACGGGATGGCATTAAGCCCTGGTCCCTGGACTGGATTTAGTACGCTAATGTGTTCCGGATCTATTGGCTGCACATCCGCTTCAGTTTCAGGTTTTTCATTAACAAAGCAGAGTCAGCCGTGTGTCGTGTGCCGTGTGCCATGTGCAGTAAATCTTCAACTTTGGCTAAATCAATTAGGATCTGGTTAGTTCCTAGGGTAACGTAACCATCAGTTTTCCACACTATATATATACTATATGTGTGTGTCTGATAAAAGCAATTCCAATTTCCAAGTAATGAAAAGAGGAAATTCGCTTAATTCCTCGTATTGTTAAGTCTGGTGTAATCGAAGAGTTGCAACTGCAAAACCGAAACAGAACCGAACTGAAGCGAACAGGGCAGAGCAGAGCAAAAAAGGAAACCCAATCCGGACGCAAATGCCAGACCGCGTAATTGTTTTAAAATGCACAACGAAAATGGCAATAAACGGCAGAGCCAACAGCTAAAGGGCAGGGGAATATGGTAACTGGTCCTGGTAACTGGTGACTGGTTAAAACCCCCCCCTCTGTCACGGGGCAATGCCATTAAAGTAAACGAAATTTCCATGCCAAATTGTAATCACCACAGCCGTCCCGGCTGCTGCTGCGACTTCAATTCGATGACATTCCCGAAGACAAATGCTGAATAAATAATTTAGTTGCCGGATTAGAGAGCCGCAATCCGCTTGCGAATTTACACTCAAGTTGCTGCCATTAGCGGCGAACTATTGCATATCATTAGGCGGAGCTACCGCAGTAACGCGTTGCAACATTGCAGCTGCACAAATGTCGCACCCGCCTCGGGATCCGGCTTAAGCCGCAGCCAGAGTTATAGCAGTTACTTGCCACTGGATTTGGCCAGCTCGGAAATAACAACTGGCAACGCACACGTCTGACTGGCTTTTTGTCCTTTAGGGTTAAGAAATATGCAACCATTTTTACGGTGAACCAGGTTATGCCGTGCACTGATAAAAACATTAATTTTTTAATTAAGTATTAAAAATATATAATATATAACAATAAAATTATCCTTAATTAATTGTAAGTATTCATATAAACTGAAAAACAGGAGAGTTTATACCAGTCCAAGCTAGCCCTGCTGACTTTCAGACTTCGTCGAAACTTTCGGTAGTGCATTGTGACCCCAAAAAGTAACAGTAGAGTCCAGGACCCACAAAAAAGGACACCCCGAAATGGCTGGGCATAAAAAACAATGCCACAGGAGCAGAACAGAGCACCATCGAGCAGAACGGACGCAAAACTGCATTGGGGACAGGAAGTGCCAGGGGTAAGGACACACGGATTCGGCATGCAGAATGCGTTTTGTCCTCCCAAAGGATGTGTGTGTGTGTGTGTTTCTGCCCTCTGTGCGTGCGTGTTAATGCACGAAGCCGTAACGCCAGACAGAGAGAGAAAAAAAGATGCATTTCATGCACATTTACGCTGGGAATGTGTTGCATCAGCAGCAGGAGCAGCACCCAGGATGGAGGCGGGGGTGGTTACAAGCCAGAAAGTGGGGGCATTTCATATGCAAATTTGCTGGGAAAGTTTTCTTCATTTTTTTAGCAACGCTTTTGCCAGCTCGGGCTTATTTATAAGATCTTCTTTGAGGCCACTCGCACTTCGCACATGGGTCGAAGCAGATTCCGTTTGACAAAATGCCCCGGCAGCAGACCCGTTGACTGATTGCCACGCCCACAAGGCAACCAACCAAGCAACCAGCTGCCTCTCTTCCCCCATCGTTTTTGCCAACAGTTTGGAACATGGAACCAGTGCTTGCAGCTAGATTGCGGCCAGGACAGGGAATGTGAGTGTGTGTGCTTAGCCGAGTATCCCCACAAAGCGACTGGCGTAAATTGACTGGTTAAGGCCACAGATTGCCTGGCTTTGGCTCTTGGAAATTCTGCAAATTTTCCCAAAAACACCCTCAAAATTGGTTGACATTGTCAACCGTTTCCGCCTGACTAATTTCTTATTGATGGAGCCAGCAGAGCATAGCACACAGCACACCTGGCGATGCGTTAATTAATCCCATGCAGCTGTCACTATTGCAAAGTTGAGATCTCTCGCCGTCAACGTGGCGTATACGTGCTGGAATCAGCATAAGCAAAAGGCAAATGAATTACGAAATGAGTTTCATAAATGCAAACACTTGGCGAATGTCACTCTGCCATGTCAAGCTGTGTGTTTACTTTTAAATAATAAGTGATTTGTTAGACTCCGCTCAAGATGTTGCCACGTTTAGACTTATGACGCTGATATGAGTCTGTAAAACATGAATAATTTGTAAGTACTTATAAAGACAGAGAAAGAGAGAGAGAGATGAGAGTGTCTGAGCCACAATTTGCATTTATTAAAATATAATTTATTGTCTAAAAGAGAGCAAACAAAAAGGGATTTGTAGGGCTTTAAGTGTTTGCAATTACGTAAATAATTTCGTAGGCACTTAAAATTAAATTTAAATTAAATAAATGTATATAAATAATTGCTTTAGCGATACAAAATTCCTACATTTTATATCCTCTTAGCCTGGCAATCGGTTAATTGCAAATGTTATTATTTTCCAATCGTTCCATATGCTAATGGAAACTGGATACTGAATATATCCTTTTCGGGCGGCGTTACCACGCAACGAAATTAACTCTTTTTACCTCCAATATAATAGAGCTACGTGCCCCGAAACTGATGTGTTCAAGGGAATAATGCGATGCATGCATAAATCAGTAACATATTAAATTATTGATTCAGCGACAAAGTTAATAATGAGAGCATTAAAATATTTAACTGGCAAAAGGGATGAGATTTGATTGGCATGCAAAAATGTTTTCCGCGCCCCCGTCCAAACAAAGGGGAGGCTGGATTCAACACACAAAGCCCCAATGAACACATTCACGTACTTGGGGCGGATGCGAAAGTTTCCAACTCAAAACGGTGCAAACGGAATTTAATAAATACGTGCAAGGCATTTGTGATTTTTATTCAAGAGAGAGAGAGAGAGCACTGTTGGCATTGCCGTAAAAGGGCTAAAAAGGCTAAAAAACTTGCCAAAATAATCACCCGCTTGGCTGCAATTAAAGAGCTCCCCGCAGCCATAAAGTGAATCCCCTAAGAACATTCCCAGAACCGAGAGTATGCCTGTGTGTTTGTGTATGCCGGGTACAACTTTAGCGTTTGCCATGCGTGGTCACGTACACGTGAAAATGGCGTAAATGTTTTAAAAGTTGCATCAAACTTGTTATGAAGTATTTGCCCGCAAAAATGAAAGGAGCAGTCGGTGGCCTCCATTTACCTACCCAAAAGCTGGCTCCATTCCTATTCCCCAACTTCTCATAAGAAATTGCAATGCATGTGCGAACGTCTAAAGAAATTAGCAGCTACATTTTGAGGCATCAGGCAGGACTATAAACGTGCCATATCCTTGGCAAGGTGGTAAGAAGCCAACTGGCTTCTTGACAATATCCTTTGGATTTAGCTGGCTTTATACTTATATTTTTTAGATATTTTTTAAGACTTTTTAAATGCAGGAAAATACAGGAAGTGCTTAAGTTAAAATATACTCTACCTTTTCATTTTCTCTTCATAAAAAATTACAATTTCCCACTTAGTAACTAACTTTTCTTTGTTGAAAATGCACCCAAGATGATTTCCCTAATATAATTATTCCAAATTTTCCGCTGCCGTGTTGGACTTGAAGGATGGCAACTAGGCTTGGCTTGGAAAAGCGTCAACCACAACGACAAACACATTGCACAAAAGTTATCTTTGGCTGCGGGGTGTACTGGTTTTCCCAGGCTCATGTTAGTTTTCAAGTACGAAATAAGCAGAGTTTCCTGTGCTGGTTTACTTTTCCGAGCCTTTGGCGGCAAGTGGTGTGGGTGGAAATGCAGGTGGAAAGGCCTTATTTCGACGGCGGTGTCGGTGATGTTTCTCTTTAAGCCACTGCACTGTACTGCACTGTAATTAAAGGAAAGCCCTTGGCGCTTTTTTCGTAGTACATATATTCTGATGTTGCCAGGGACTTTGTGTGCGAAAGGGGGGAGATTATTGCGCCGACAACCGAAAGTTAAAGTTAATTAATGCCGGTGAATCGGAAGTCATATTCCCCTTTGCAGCAGCCTTATGTTATTAACTCCCGACATATCCGATATGTGTTTTCATTAATTAAATCGGCAGATTGCATGCTCTCCACTTGAAAAATCCCTCTTTGGGTCCTAATGGTGTCGCTGGATTTGATTGCTGATATCCTCTTAATTGCCATGGCCTTAAGTTGCTGGCGGAGGCTCAAGGATCTCGTTTAATTGAGGCTTAATTGGAAAGTAATTAAAATGAAAAATGTGGGGGCCTTTGTTTGGCGAAACAATGCTGCCGCTTCCCCATACATTTTGCGACCCAGCAAACAATGAAAATAGTTTCATTCCAGGGCACATTCCGCGAAATTATTTTTTCAGGCTGTCAATATAACTATATATTTTTTAATTGCCATGAACAGAGCACCGTTTCGCTGGAATCTTAAATTTATGCATTCAATTAATATTGCATTGGGCACTATGGTTCTGTTGCACCATGACTGATTTGATTTCCACTGACCAATTGGACAAGTAACCCAATCAGTGTCCGATGTGCATATATATTTTATTGAATGTCAAAAAACCAAGTGGCGGGTGATGAGAGCGCTTCCATAAATGCTCTACCCCGTACCTACCACTTCGTTTTCCGCACTCGGGATAATTTTTAATCTCCTGCAACATTGCCCAAAAAGGGCTCAAATGGAACTAATTAAGGGCAACACATGTCGGGATTGGCTGGCATGATGAATGTCCGCAAATGCGGCAAAGGGGAAGACCATTACTCATGTGAATGTGTGTTGGCCGAAAAGAACATGGAATAAGGGTCAGGACTTGGCCTGAAAGGGGAAGTAAACTTCTAGAGGGAGGTTTACTCCTCAGATAATTTATTTGAAGTGAGGAAACTCTCTGAAAGTTTAAGATTTTAGTATGCTTAACTGCTGAAAAACAAATAGAATTTCTGCAATACTTAATAAATACTTAAAATAAACTATAAATTAACCAATCTTAAACTTTTTACTATTAACGTTTTCTCTTGAATCCTGAAATCATATTAAATGTTAGTGCACGTCCTGGACCGTATAATACAATTAAAACCTTTAATGGGGCTTGCTAATTCGATCGACCGACCACATATTTATTTTTTTAATTACAAGGTTTGACTTTCTGCCCAACCCCATAAATAAATACAGTAAATACAGTTTGTAATCGGCTTTTGCCCGACAGACAAGTGAGCATTGGTATTTGTATGCATTTTGTTATGCTTTGAGTACCGCGTAATGAGCGTTTGGTTTTTGGTCAATATTCCCGGGAAAGAACCCACCTGTTTCTCACTCTCGTATGAATTGAAATTGGGGTTTTTGCATTGCCCAGCAGCCATTTTGATAATGTTAAAGTGGCGTCGGCGTCGTCTGGCCAAATAGCCCTTAAGCTTTCCTGTAACAGACGGAATTATATTCGCTTGTACGCAATTTTACGATTCATCGCCCACCAGACGACGCAATATTGGAATCTGAAGCCTTCGGGGCGAATTGAGGATTCTCGAATGTCGGGAGTATTGGTTATTTTCATAATTTAAGCAACGAAAGAACTCTTTAAATGAAGTTGGTAATTAAAACGGCAGTCGCTCATTCTTCAACGGAGTGGCTGCAATGTAAATTCCCCGCTCTTACATTATTAATAACTCTCGAATATTCATTGAAAGTCAACGCACTGCTACCGTATGCTGCACTCGTCTCCGATCGAACCCAATCGAATCGAATCGAATCGAATAAATTAAATGTCAACATGTGTCGTGCTCGGTGCATTGCCCGCTCGGTCACTTAATCACGTAGAGGGATTTCGCAATTTGCTCCTTGGACTCCTTTTCAAAAATATGATGAATGCGAATCGAACGGCGGCGTTTGGTCCTTAATCCGATCGCGTAACTCTCTCTACCCGCCATAATTCATACAAAACCCATTCGCCAAAGCCAACATTATTTAGTGTTTGCTTTTTTGCAGAAACACACATTTGCGTTTAGGGGCTTTGGCATTCAGCGAGAGACAAACCATAAATATTTGCACCGCATTGAATAATGTAACACCAAATAGAGCAAAAAATACAAAACACAAACACCAGCACAATGGCGCATTTAGCTGTCCTGGGAGCTAAAATGGCGACAAAACACATACATACGTACATAGGGCCCCTGGACAAATGCCCCTGTCCCTGTTCGTGTCCTGGCCCTGGCCCTACAACAGGTTGAATAAATACTCGCAATTTGAAACTAAAACAATGCCGAAAAATTCACCACACAATGGGCCGTAAAACAAACATAAAGTCATTGTGTGCCTTTGCCATTTCTAGCCCCACGGGAAAATGTCCTTGCCATTACAAACACTTATCGGGGGTATAATAATTTGGATAAACTGTTGGGATCTCCGGGAAAATTAGGCTGTCATTAGCCACTTGTCGATGGATAATCTTTTAGTGACAATAATAAAATATTAGTTCAAGTTTAATGAGAAAATAACATTGAAAGTTTGCTAAAAAACATGAAAGTAATTCTACTTTTTATTTATTATTCTTATTGTTTAACTTAAGACCCATAAATACTAAAAAAAAAACAGCAATTCATCAAGAGGCACATAGAGAGATGTGCGAACTTTAATTGCGATTATCTTAACATTTTTTGCTATAATCTGTGGCTGCTTTTCAGTGGGATGCTCACTATTTTTTGCTCTTTTTGCCAGAGCGACAGGCAGGGTTATTGGGTTTTACTGAAGCTGCCTGGGCCAGGACAAATTCAAAAGACCAGCGAAGATTAATGAGAGCCGCGCGAACTCAATTGAGAGCTTCGTCGGTTCCCGAACAAAGTCCAACCCCGAAAATCGACTGACAAGCGAAATGAATAACCGTATGTGGCGCTAATTGGTGCTTCACTGCATTTTCCGGCTTTGTAAATGCTGCAAATACAGGCAGGATCAGAATGGCTTTCCCTGGACTTTTCCCCTTTGCCAATTAGCCCGCAAAATCAATTGAAGCCACGATTCATTTGCCATAATTGCTGTAATTTAATGTTTAGTGGAACGGTATAAAGCTATATACAGCTCAATTAATGGTTTCAAATTCAGGCCTCAGTGTTTCCAAATTTCTTTTTGAACCTTTGCACAACTATCAAAATGAATTCGGATCCCAGGGTCATGTGCACTTCGCCGATATTGGAGCGGATGCGCATGAATGTTATATCGTTGGAGGGATCCAGATCCCTGACCACATTCCGGGCCATGAACAGAAGGGGCTTCAGATTGCCAACAAGAAATATGGTGCGTCTCTGGCTGGAGGTCGATCGCAAGGGCAAGCCATTGTTATCCATAATTATGATGTCCCGACCGCCGCGATGGTCGAAGAGTTTGATGAAGGCATCATCGTCGTAGGATCTGGCACGACTGTACAAGATCACGAAATAAAGCAAGTCCTTAACTTGAAATTAAACTACTTACGCAACAGTTTTCTTTGCGATGGGAGGCAGCTTGGGTTGTTCCGGCTGATCTATTGTCGAAATCCTCGACATTCTCGACATTGTGGCAGGACTTTGACTGTAGCCAAAGCCGAATACATGTGAGTTATGTTTATATGTTTATTTCAAAGCTAACTAGTTGTTTATTGTATTTTTAATAATGAGTAAGAAATCGATTTATAACTTGTTTGATATGGGTGAAGGCAGGGAAACATTTTTGGAAAGCCATTGAAAAAGATTAAATTATATATTGAGAAATATAAAACCATATTTTTAGTCATCATGGCAAATATTAAAACCAGTTTTTTCGATTAATAACTGACATCTTGATTTTATAGAAATCCAAAAAATGCAGCAAATGTAAATAAATCTCTGGTTTTTAAACTCAGAAAGCTTTGCCCTATTTTAAAAGCATGAAGCTGTATCAGATTTCCCACAGCCTATTTTTTCTGTGCTCTTCATTATTCATAATAAAAATAATACCAATCGAATAGCGTTGAAAAATACAAAGCCTGCGGCCTTCGTTTATTTGTCAATACTTAAAAATTTGTTTTAAATTGTCTATGAATTGAAATTTGGCAATACTATAATTGTCTGATTTATGCAGGAATGCGTGTACGTAAGTAGGCCAGCACCGCCAATGTTCCCATCGCCAGGACCTGGTGGCGCGGCAGACGGAAGGTATTGCCCCACAGCTCCAGCTGTTTAATATTGGTCAGATTACCCAGGAGGGGCGGCACCATTTGGATGTCATTGTTGTTCAGAATCAGGGTGTGCAGGTTTATCATGGCGCCCAGTCCTTGGTCGCTGGCATCGATGTCCTTGATGCGGTTGTCGTTGGCCACCAGCTTGCCCAAACTCTGTAGCTCGTAGATGCAGCGTGGCAAAAGCTCGAAGCGATTGTGGGATATGTCCAGCTCCCGGAGCAGCTGCAGTCCGGCTAGCTCCATGGGCAGCTCACAGAGCAGATTGCAGGATAGGTTAAGAACCGCGAGCTTCGAGTACTGCGATATGTTTGTGGGCACATAGGAGATCTGGTTTCTGGAGAGGACCAGCTCAGTGAGGAGTTCGCTCAGCATGTGCAGGTCTTGAGGCAACTCGATCAGCAGATTTCCGTCTAGGTTTACAACATTTACCAGCTCCTGACGAGCCGTTTCTAAAACCTCCATTGGCAATCCGGTGATATTGGCCATGGAAACATTCAGGACTCGGGTATTTCGCATGTGATATTTATCGGGAAACAGGGAATCCTCCGAGCAATCCATTCCGCCGCCCTGCTTACGCGGACTGTTTAGTCCATCGCCAACGAAAGTCATCTTGAGCAGATTCTCTAAAACTTAATTTGGTTTTATTTTTAGCGCGAAATAAACAAATAATATTATTGTAAAAAACTTACAGTTTTACAGAAAAAATATATATAAAATATTAGATGCATAGATTACTCTTATGAGTTGCCTTAGCTGCTTTAAATTTCAAACTGAAATGAAAACCTAGATCCGTAGCAAGACTGAACATTTGACAATATTTCCAATGAAAATTTATAAAAAACTTTATTAGGATTTTTTAAACTGAAACAAATTATAGAATATATATTTATATAAATATTATTTAGCACAAGACGCTCCTAGTGGTCTTTTAAAAGGAGCATTTCCGAGGAAAATATTTATTATATTTAAATTATAGATTTCTTTATATAAAACAAGAATCTAAGTCATCGTTATTGGTTGTAATATATCTAGGCATATTATTTTCAATTTAAACCAATATTCCAAATATTTTTCAGGAAGGAAATATCTCAAATTTATCTACAAACTGGATATATTTTGACGAGCTGCTTACAATCAAATGATTAAATACACAAATGTCTTTTTACATAAAATTTGACTTTGGTTCAAAGGATGCCACAGTCTGTCAGAAAAATCTTATTGTGAGCGCTGGCCAGGTGACCGATGGCATCATGAATCTTTGACAGGAACTGCATTCCCTTGCGCACCTTGCCGAAGGCGATCCTGCGACCATTTAGCGTCGACAACGGCTTAAAGCTGATGGTGAAGTTTACCGCCGAACAGGCAGTGGCACGAACGTAGCGACTGGGGAACGAAAGGATGCCAGCATCCACGCCATGGTTCAAGGTCTCGAAATCGTGCTCGATATTGGTTAGCCCCCTGTTCCGTTCCGAGTCCATTTCAATCTTGCCCTCCAGCCAAATGGGCGACAAGGCTCGAGTGAAGGCGATGGATTGGGTACAGTTGCGCGTGCAGACCCGCATGAATTCCAGCACCACCTGCGGACAGGCCTCGGTAAAGAGCTGGATGCAGAGTCGACCCTGGAGGCGGCAATCCGGCACCTCAATGTCCAAATAGATCTGCGGGCGCAGCAGCTTGCACAAGACACCCACATCGCATTGATCCATTAGATTTTCGTAGCGATGGAGGACATGCATCGGAATCTCGTAGGTAAAGGATCCCTCGGACTTCTTTGACTTTGCCGCCATCGTATCGAAGAGCTCTCCGCCCTTGTGAAACTTCTTGTTGTTCTCCAGCTGCCGCTGCTCCTTGTTTCGGGCCACTGTCGCATTGCGCCACCTGCCCTCCGCCAGGCGTTCTGGCGACTTGGTGAAGGTGCGCAGCGTATTGTTGCTCTTCTTGTACAGAGCGGTCAGCATCTCCATGTAGGACAGCTCCATGCCATTCCCCTCAATCTTGATCTTTGGCGGGGGCAGGTAGGTGTTTACCTTGCCCTTGACTTGGCTCATTCGCTCTCGGTGCTGGCGGTACAAGGCCCGCTGTTCGTTCGTCACCAGATTGGAGCGACTCCTGGACAGGGAATGCTTGCCTATGGCCACCGGGATCAGGCGCTGATGGTGACGGTAATTGCTCATCAGAGCCTGCTTATTGATGTTAAAGGTGTGCTTCTGGGTGGTGTCTGCCACCTGGCCATCGAATGCCACCAGGTGGGGATTTGGGTTGTTATAAACGGGATTGGTCATTGTGTAGGGACCGCGTTTTACAGCCGCCACGTACGGAGTCATCGAGCTGGGCACCTGGGGAATAATCCCCGTATCCCTAGCACCGCGCGTCGCATCGCCTCGGATAAACATGGTCTTTTGGAAATCTTTGGATATACTTGAATTTGAAGCTGCTAAGGCAGTGTTTGCGGAGTGACTTGTTGGTTGAATAATATATAAATATCGGACTGTGAGATTTGAGAAATAGATATGTGAATGAAAAAGCCAGGATGACCTAGATGGGTTGTTGGTAGATAGATACTACCCACCGAACTTTGGGGCTTACAAAAACTACTAAGGTTTTAACAAAGATTGGGTATTAAGTATGAAAAGAGCTCTTAATAGTCTTAAAGGTAAATTTCAAAGGAGAGTTACATAAATTAGCTTTGAAAAGTAACTTAAAGCTAACCTTGACTTTAATGACTTTTGTTTTGTGATATCCACTAACTAAGCAAACGAATAATAAGTAATAATAATTAGACATCACAAACATCAATAAATAAGGAATCCATATCAACTTCCCCACTCTGGCAGTAATTCCAACCATCCTAATTATCCCTGCTAATGCTAATTTCATTAACTTCAACATAAAAACTGCTGCCTAACATAATAAAATTCATGGAATGTGCGGCTTCATATTCTTTGATGTGGAAAACAAAATGAAATTGTGCAATTCGCATCAATTATTTAGCCGGTATATATATATATATATATATATATATATTATGGAGTGCATATTGCACTGTCTCCATCAAGTATAAATTCAATTTAATTAATTTCAACAAATTTCAACGAAATAAACACTGCGGTGGTCGTCTCATAATGCAAACTTGTGTTCGCGTAATTAGTGATTTAATTAAAATCTGCAAGTATGCATGCCATTAAAATGGAAATATTTCCACTATTTTTTATGTTCTAATTCACAGCTAGTTATCTCTTTACATGAGTTTTTCATTGCGATTTACTGCTTTTTAAATGCTGCATTTGTTGGTTGCTCATTTGTACTTTTTTTTTAACTTTTCTGGGCCTATTTGTGTTTTGCCATTTAGCGATTTCCACACAATTGACATTTTAAAGTCTAGTGAACCATTCGAAAAATGGACAATTAGTGGTCATAACACTCGAATAATTGCGTCACATGGTCTGAATAATTGGCGGAACATCAAAACCATTCATGGAATTCGACGTTGTGTAAATATAAATAGGGTATACACTTTTTGCTTTAAGCCTTTTACCAATTTACATGTGCTTTTGTAATTCTATTTTTTTGCATTATAAACTATGTTAAATTGAAACTTTTTCATCAAATTAAGCCACATTAATTCAATTAGGGTACAATAATAATAATACATTTTAATCTATGTGCTCTTTTTATTATTCCTTGATTTACTTTTGTTCAAATCGGATTAAGAAGCATCAACAACACATGGTGCCCATATAGTAGAAACCGATAGCGGAATAAAAAACCTATGCGAATTGCATTAATTGATTGTTAATATGGTAGGGATTTCGCGGTCACAATTAAATGATTAATGCGGTTGGGTGCGGCGGGTGGCCATGGCAGGGCATGAATTAAAGATAAATCGACCATGACAGTGCCATATAAATATACATACGCAAGCTGTATGTGCAGTCATAATAATCTGATGCATTAATGTGCTCTCCACTCAGCCGATTATGGGGCCATCAACTGAAGGACATCCCCCAGTCGGGGCCAGAGTGTCATTAGGGCAACGCTCTTATCGCTCAACAATCAACGTCAGCGTGGAGACAACGGGTGTCAGAGGATGACGGGCTCCCCCTGGCCCTAGACATTGAACCACTTAAGCGTTTTTTGTTCTCAAGTGTCACTCCCACGGCTGCCTCACCGCAACCATCTCGGTATCCTCTATATCCTTCATATCCTTGCCTTGCCATATCATCAACCACTCTGCCCATCCATCTCCACTTTCACCTCCACGTGTTTTGTACATTCTCTAGTGCCTTCGCATCTGGCATTCATATTTGGTATTCATATTTCAGGGTACATCTTAAAAATGTGTCAACAATAAACCCACACACAGTCAGACCAGACAACACCCATTGCAAACAAGTGACTGCAATTTGATCAAATACGTATGCGTTGCATCCAGGCTATTTTATTTATTTACCCCATCACCGCACCAGCTCTATCCGGCTCTCGTTCCTGCCATGTGGCAAATATCTCGCCCGGAATGCCTGACATCTTCAATACACCACCGCACTGCGGATGTCCAGAGTGGAATGTGTAGCTTACGGATGGGTGTCTGGACTCCGGATATATATTTGCAATAACCCGATGGGACAAGAAGCGATCATTTAAAGTACTTGAATGGGCTTAAAATGGATCAATTGGGAGTAATATTATTTTAAAAATTTGTTTTGGAAAAGGGAAGTTTGTATTCCCTTGCAGGTAACAATTAAAATATATCATAACTAAGCGAAAAATGCAATAATTTCGATTCGGAAAGCAGTTTTGTGTTAGTTTTTATTAATTAAAAAAACTGCATACCAAATTTAAAATTTTAGGAAATCAAAATTTTTGGCCATTTTTGCTAATTTTAATGATGTAACCCCTTATAAAATTTTGCAAAAATGGTCAAAAAATCGATTTCTTCCGGACATATCTAGAAAGATTCCCCTGTTGATGCTGATCAAGAATATATATACTTTATAGGGTCGGAAACGTCTCCTTCACTGCGTTGCAAACTTCTGACTGAAATTATACTACCCTGCAAGGGTATAAATATAGAGAATTTTATTTTTATTGCAAATATTTTCCATAGTAAAGTCAATTATGATTTAGTCTGCCTTGTAGAATATATATCTTTTAAAATTCATTCATTTTTCCTTTATAAATTCCGAAGCACCTCTTATCCACTCAATGAATCTATGAAAACTATTTATTAAATTAGGCAAACATTTTGCAAGGAATATAGTACCTCAAGAAAGAAATACAACTTTAAGAAAACTCTCAAGAAAAAGTAAAGTCTGCATCTTTGTAAATTCTGGAGTGCCTTTCATCCACACAATATATGTAGCCACGAATCTGACCTTGTATGCACGCCCGCATATCGCCCTATTATTTTCGTTGCTATTTTTTTTTATGGACGAAAACAAAAGCCGGAGCCGTTAGTTAAGAGCATAATGGATCATAAATGCTTTGGCTGCGAAAATGTGATTTTATTCTGTCTGCTCCGACGCGTCGCCCGCCGCCGCCTCCATTATTCCGACCAGCATATAGCATATAGAATCCAGCATCTGGCTTATGGAACCTGTCTTATTGCTCCCAGCTTATGTACGTATAAGTATGGCTCTGTGTCCCGGGCACAAGTGTGTGTATTTTTATGACATTCTGTTTTTTCTCAGCTCATGGTCGGGAGCACTTTGTGTTTGTCATATTTTCTATCCGCCGAGAGATGTCAGGGGAAAACGGGACACGAGCTGGATTGGAAGGAGGTTTTGTGGCCAAAATCATGTAAATGGAATATGTGAGTATTTAAGCTGAGATTTGGCTAGGGATAAGCCATGACTTGGCCAGAGGTTTACCATTAAGGCATTAAGAAAAATTATAAAAAGAAACACCAGGCTTTTCTTCATTAAAATTTGGAAGGGGACATTTTCCAAGCCAGTGTTTAAGTGAGAGATTAGGTTTGCCGCGCCGTCTATTTCCTTCCAATCCATTTAATCAGCTCTAATTAGCCCGTTGCCTGCTCATTTCTGGCTTAAATGCCATCAATTTTGGGACCATGTAGCCAAGTCCGACAGTCGTTGAGAGCGTCTGAATTGGTTAAGCCCTAAAGCCATCAGTTAATTAATGCCATTAATGTCTTAGCAGTAGCTCTCGAAACCAGTAATTAACCGAGTTGACAGATCAAGTTTGTCCCGGGGGACGAGGGTATAAAGGATTATATCAGTTAGCAAGCGGGCTTAATTAACAATAAGCCAAGGTGTTAATAGCTCGACGACAAACAGCAGCAAACCCAAAAGTTAGATCCTGCACCTGCTCGATGCTCGCCCCAAAAATGTCGCCCGAAAAATATTTAATCTAATTCGGCGACAAACACGGAGGAACTGAACTGAACCGAACCGTACCATGGCCAGGTGGGCGGGTCGTCCTCACACATTAAAAAACCATTTCAAAGGTTTAGGTTTTTGGGGCTTAGGCCTCGTCCTGTCCTCCATCTCATTTTGAGCCCACAAAGTTGAGCACCTTTTCGGGGCTCAGAAAGCAGGCAAAGCCAAAAAGGTAAGCAAGGAGACGTTGTCGTGCCAAAGATGAAGATGCCCGGATACAATTTTAAGTATCCATGTAATCCTTAAACAATTTATTAGCCAAGGGAGCTTACGAATAGAAAAAGCCAATTAGGTTAATGTGTCGAAAGAGACTCGAGACTGTTCTTGAGTCATTGCAAAAGCCTTTACCCTTAATTAAATATCCTGCTTGTTTTGTGATGTCTTAAAGTTAAGGCAACTCGCAAGGACAGCAGTGATTTGAAGACGTTTACTGCATCCTTGGCTAACCCTGAATTTGCAGATGAACACGATCTCTATGTGTGAGTCTGAAAGGTGAGGGATTGAGGCCTAAGCAATGGCACAACCAGAATTCCCAGCGTCAATTAAATGTTCTGAAAGGAACGGCAAACTCCATCGGTTTGGTTTGCAACTCCTAAAGCCAAACCATTTAAAGGCGGACATCTGGGGAATGCAAACACGTGAGGGTACAATTTGGGGCCAACATGCAAATATGCAGGGTCCTCCTCCTGATTCTCATCCTGCTCCTGGCAGGGGGCAAAAACACGAGTGTTCCTGAGACACTCACAAAGGGCCCTGGCACGCTCTCTCCGTAAAGCGGACTCAGAGGCGTTCGAGGCTCCCACAGAGTTGGCTCTGAAAAGCCATTTATCAAGACATTGCATAACAATGGCGCCCTGTGCAAGCCATAAAGGATATTCAAAACGAGTTAAGCTTTATGATTTGAACACGTGTTAACAACACATAAAAGCAGGCAACGAGTTGGCCAAAGGCAAAAACCGGAGCCACGACCAGAATGGGAATCCGGAGAACTAACCTAACCCTGAATTGTGCGATGGATTCACTGGGGCAGCAGTAATTGAATCGTCCTCCGCTTCCCAGAGACTCCACTCCACACTCACTGTTAAAGTTTAAAAGTGTAAAATAAATAAATGCTCTTCCGGCGGCTTCTAGGGCAGAC